GTAGTCGAGGTACGGAAGAGGCACCCCCGCTGATTATCTTGACGGTCGGGCCAAGTTCCCAGACGTCAATTAAGCAACTAACCGCACGCATGCATTCGAAGTCAGCCATCAGACCTACTTTTAGACATCGCCCATCTACTTTGCACCCTTCGTTATGGTCAAGATCTTCGAACAGACACTTTCAACAGGATGGTATTTCAAACAGGTGGACGACGCGGAACAGGCATGGATGCCCGTGCCGTCCATTCCCTCTGTTGTTCACCAAGATCTCTTAGCAAATGGAGAGTACGTATCGATCTTATGAAGTTACAATCATCACCCGGAAGTCGAGAAAAGCACCCGCTTACCGCGATTCCAGGATTCCTGATCCATTCATTGGCTTCAATGAGCTAAGGACCGATTGGGTAGGTGAGAGGGCTTGGGTATATCGGAGGTCGTTTCAAAGTCCACCGATTCATCCCAATGCAGTGGTCGACTTGTTATTCGACGGGTTGGATACGTTCGCCAAGGTAAAATTGGACGGAACAACAGTTCTCGAATCCGATAATATGTTTCTTTCTCATCGCCTGAATGTGACGGACTTCCTCAAAGCGCAAAAGCAACATGTGCTCGAAATTGAAATTGATTCCGCACTCATACGCGCGAGGAAAATCAAAGATAGTCACCCTCACCACAGGTGGGTCGGATACAATGGCGAAATGGCCAGACTTGGTGTCAGAAAGGCCCAGTACCACTGGGGCTGGGATTGGGGTCCCTTACTCATGACTGCAGGTATCTGGAGACCAGTACGACTGGAGATGTACTCTATAAGAGTAGACGATATCTGTGTGGAGACTCAGCTGTCTAAGGATCATCAAGCAGTGACAGTGATGGCTTCCGCTCAGATGACTGGCGACAGTCCTGCAGTGTATAAAGCTGTATTTTCCTTGAGCTTAATGGGACACGAGATGGAGAGCAAAATAGTATCAATTGATACTAATGGCAATGCTAAGGCCGATATTGACATAGTAAATCCGCAGCTGTGGTGGCCCAACGGTTATGGCCCTCAGACACTCTATGAAATCTCAGTCTGTGTCACCAAGGACGGTGAGGCATTCCACCAGGTATCGAAGAAAATCGGAATCAGGACGGCGGAAGTCGTCCAGGAGCTCGATAAACATGGAAAATCATTTCTATTCCGCATAAATGGAGTTGATATCTTTTGTGGTGGTTCATGCTGGATTCCGGCGGATAGCTTTCTCCCCAGTATCACCAAGGACAGATATCGACAGTGGATCGAACTGATGGCTGCTGGCCGTCAAGTGATGATAAGGTATTACTGGCTTCTATAACAATACGATTGGGCTGTGGTCCAGCGCAACTAACATCCTCTAGGGTATGGGGTGGAGGAATATACGAAGATGATTCATTCTATGACGCATGTGACGAATATGGAATCATGGTATGGCAGGACTTTATGTTCGGCTGTGGTAACTATCCCGCTTGGCCTGCCATGTTAGACTCTATTCGCAAAGAAGCGACATACAATGTACGACGACTGCGCCACCATCCAGCAATTGTGATCTTGGCCGGCAATAACGAAGATTATCAAGTGCAGGAACAGGAGGGTCTCACTTATGACTTCGAGGATAAGAATAGGGACAACTGGTTGAAGAGTGACTTTCCTGCGCGGTATATTTACGAAGAGCTTCTCCCTACCGTTATAAGAGAAGAGTGTCCATGGGTGTTTTACCATCCTGGAAGTCCGTGGGGCGATGGAAAACCTACATCTGACCCGACTGTAGGCGATCTCCATCAGTGGAATGGTAAACTGTCCTCTTCCAGTTGTCAAGGCATTCGACAGTTGTTAACGATTATATAGTGTGGCACGGGACGCAGGAGAAATACCAAATCTTCGAGCAACTGGGAGGGCGGTTCAACAGCGAATTCGGCATGGAGGCGTTCCCACACCTGGAAACCGTCAATTACTTCGTGAAAGACGAGATTGACAGGTTTCCTCAGTCACACATAATGGATTTTCACAACAAAGCGGCTGGACACGAACGTAGGATTGCGACCTATGTCGAGGAAAATCTGCGGACTTCTACAGACTTGCAGGTAACTCTAACTATAATTATGCTATGAGGACTCACGACTCTGCTAACATTGAATTAGACATATATCCACCTGACTCAAGTAGTCCAAGCAGAAACGATGCTTTATGCCTACCGTAGCTGGCGGCGTCAATGGGGAGACAATCGTCGCTGCGGTGGTGCTTTGGTTTGGCAGCTGAATGATTGCTGGCCGGCGATTTCGTGGGCAATTGTCGATTACTTTCTACGCCCGAAGCCAGCATACTATGCAATAGCACGAGCATTGACTCCAGTCGCAGTCGGAGTTGAACGCGAACACCATGATTGGAGTGTCAGTCATGCGAGACCCCCGAAGACGATTAAATACAACCTTTGGGTTGCTAGCAGTCTACAGACAGAAGTCGTAGCTACCGTCGAACTGAGGTTTATTTCCATCAGTACCGGCTCTGAGATCTGTCAATCAAGGACAAATCGCGGCATCCATGTCATGCCAAACGGGACGACAGACATCATCCTCGATGGTATCATTGATTGTGTCGCGTATCCCGAAGCGCATGTGCTCGCTGCGCGGTTATGGATAGGTGATCGCATCGTTTCCCGTGACATTGACTGGCCGCAGCCCTACAAGTACCTTGACTTGACACACCGTGGGCTAGAGATAAATGAATCGGTGCGGACGGACGACGAACGCATTATAGTCATCTCAGCAAAGAAACCGGTTAAATGCCTCGTCTTTGAAGCGAGGGACGGTGTTAGTCTAAGTGACAGCGCATTAGACATTGTTCCAGGCGATGATCAGACTGTGACGATAACAGGACTGAACGCCAGCGATGAGGCATTAGGATGGAAATTCCTCGGCCAGTAGTGTGCCAGTAGTGTCCTGACTAGGTTCTGTATTCTATCAAGACTCGAGGACCATCTGGATGATGATTCTTCATTTCTACGGAGACGTTGCTTATTTCTACCCAAACGCAATGCACTCTTCACGGTACCGAATTTTGAGAAAGAAGACCAGACATCTAACCAACTCTAGAAACAAAGTATGTATCGATCGTATGACAGTCTTGATATATGATGTGGTATGAACTTCAAGCAGGGGTTTCATCACAGGCACGTCCCTACATACGTCATTTGTAAACTCAATAAGGAATAAGTGAAAGTAGATGTTCGCTGTATCGGTTTTCAGCTCTAGTATTGATGGTGGTGATACAATATTATGTATTGTAGATCTCATGCCCTCCTGAGATGCCGATAATCAAACCCTTCAAGACACCGTTAGAGATATATTCTATCTGATATGTCTTTAGGCAGATAGAAGCATATTGTACAGCTTATCGATCAGTAAAGAAACGTGCAAGGGCTAACTTCCTGCTCCGGCGATGGTCGAGACTTTGCGATATCTTTCCACTCGATTCTCATCCAATAACTGCCATCGCGGATAAAGCGGAAGATCAATAACTAACTACAACGTAAAACACCGCACCAGTAGTTTCCAATGGATTATGACGAGACAATGAGTCCATGCAGGTTAGCTCTGATCCCCTTGGCTGAAATATCATGATCCTTCATCGTCACGTCACCTCACTGCCAGCAGTGTATTCTAGAAATTCCCATTCGAAACTATATGTACCTGTGTAGATCATGAGACATAGATAATAGACCACCAAGCTTCCCAGATACAAATAAGAGTCAGATCTCGCTCCATTCCAATGTCTACACGCTCGACCTCTAGAATTCTACCTTCTACCAAGGCCCTTCTTCGTCCCACAACAAAAGCTACACACTCCGTGATCCCCAGCCGGCTCTTTGCAACCCCGCGAATTCACGCTTTACGAAACGTTCCTGTCAGAACCATGTCTCTCATTCCACGCTGGCCTGAGCGAGAATTCAGCTCCCTTTTCCGTCTCCTCGATGACTACACTGACCACGTCGCCTCTCGCAATACACCCACGGGAGTGAGATCGTTCGCTCCTCGATTTGACGTCCGCGAGACAAAGGAAGCATACCACCTGGACGGTGAACTGCCCGGAATCTCTCAGAAGGATGTAGACATCGAATTCACCGACTCTCACACGCTGGTCATAAAGGGAAAGACGGAGCGCGAGTACAGCTCTCCCAATGCCGATGAAGGGGACAAGAAAGCGGATCACCGATACTGGGTCAGCGAACGGTCGATTGGCGAGTTCCACCGGACATTCACGTTCCCAACGCGTGTCGACCAGGATCGTGTCAAGGCAAGCCTGAAGGATGGAGTGTTGTCCATTGAGGTCCCGAAGGCAGCACCGGCAGCGGCGAAGAAGATCACAGTGACCTAAAGTTCCTGCTGCTGAGGGCTGTAGGGGCATATGCATTATGTAGCTGTGTGGATACGATGAGGGGCAGCACCATTTGAAAGTTAGGGATATTTCGAATAGGACTTCTTAATTGTACAAGAGCCCAACCTCCCACACTATTGCAGTCAGATTGAGACGTAGGACCTCATTGTCATCTACAAATTGGGTATATGTACAATGTATAAAAATGATTTTGAGCCGGGTCCAATAAGCGACAACTCATCCTAACGACCCAGCTTGGAAAGTTTGCACAAAAAAAAAAGGTTAAATATCGATACTCATCATGGACATGAACAGATGGGACCACCGCCCGCTGCAAATACTACAACTTCTTGGTAAAACTCCGAACACCGAGATCATGAAGAACCATTAGTAATCAGTATCAATGTCACTAAGACTGAAGCATGCATTCCCAGGAGAAAGGAGTGGAGAACCCAGAAGATCATCTAGCGCCATGTCGTAAGTCAAGTACTGGTCGTATTCTGTAAGCACGGACGGATGCACCATGATATTCTTTGGCGCATGTGATGCTGAGGCATCAGGAGCGGGTTGATGCCCTGTATGATCATCCATAGACGGTGTAGACAGCACCGTCGGATGTGTTGGAATCTTGTTAGTCTCCACCGTTAGACGAGTAGTGGGCAAATCAGCGATGTCGAGAGAGAGTTTTCTAGCCAGGCGACGGATAATATCATCGCAGAGATTCCAAGCACGTTGTGAATCCACACTTCCTGACGACATGCGATGAAGCCAGCGGACCGCCTTTTTGGCTTGTTCAAATATTGGCAAGACTCCATGAGGGTTATGCTGTGCCCTATAGGCAATCTCGATCAGCAGCACGGCGGTTGACTGCATCAGATAATGCAACACACACCACCAAGGGGATATGCGATTGAGCCAGATGACATCGGGCTCGTCGGGCAACAGGGCTAGCATCTGGCAGGCCGAATTGATCCCCAGCGTGGCCGTACTATCCACCGGCCGGCTAGACTCTCGGTCATTGCTAGGTTGTCGGTCAAGCCGACGCAAGCAAGGACGGCTGATGGTTAAGCGGGTGCTGTAATACCGAAAGGCCAAACTTGCTCGTTGTCTTACAAACCTATCGTCCTTATGAGGCTCCTTGAACCGAAACACTTCTGGCAGTTTCTCGAACCAGGTCTCGATCTGCTCACTTAGCCCCAGGATGGAACCTTCCACTTCAACCCACGGTCGCTGGGCGGCTCCAGGAGAATACAATGTGTCGATGGCATTTCGCATGATCAAGGTTAACTCGATGAAGAAGACAAAATATAGTGATACGTTGGGAGTGATCATCCTCGGGACTCTAGCAGCAGCCTGCTGGTACGGTCCATGGATAACCACAGCTTCCCTCCATGAATTCCTGGGAGTCGTTGGCGTAGTGGAGAGAGAAGGCTTCGGAGGAGCAGCGAGAACATCGTCCAGGCACTGCCTGCGCAGTTGGTGATTTGACAGAACGCCAGCCACATAGGGATCTTGGAAGTCCTCTTCCTCAAATGGAACGGGAAGCGGTGTTGTACACGACTTCTCCGCGTAGCTGATGGGACGACCCGTCATGATGCAAAGTAAATGCTCCAGCGTGTACAAGGCCCACCAGACCCGATATCGAATCTCCTTGGATGTACTCGATATTACTTTACTTTCGCTTCGCAGGTTGATGCCCATAGCCACCGCCGAACGGACAGCACCACCGCAGATTCTCCACGATCTTGCAGAACAGTCGTCAGAATATTACTTTTGCACAAAAGAAAACTGCAGGAGAAAAGCACAGTAGCCGCTCACCTGTTGACCTGACCAATTGTCAAGAAGTAAAAGGACATAAGGCCTTCCACCTGCACTTGCTGCAGATCCGGGTGAGCTAAAAGTGGCGCCTTATTGATACTCAGCTGGCACGCACGCGTGAAATATACGAAGTGATCACTGTCGGGGCCTCTGAATGTTTCTTCAACGAGGGTCGTATATTTCGCAGCCAGCGCGAATATTAGGTTCAAGATGGCCAGCCACTTGTTCCCCGGTCTGACAGAAGGCTTGCTGTAGAATAATCGGTATTGGTGCATGAATGTGACTTTGCCCACGATAGGGAACGTGGGATGGACGACGTTGAAGTAAGAGTTCAACAGCTTGTCGGCTACTGCCTGCGAAGGCAACTGGTATGGGTCGATATCTCCAGCTACCGACAATTCGATGTCGTCCAGGAAATAACTGACGGATGCCACCGAGTAGTTTTCGTCGTTAGCACCACTGGGGATCTGTGACGACACAGGGACGGTCGAGTTCGATTCCTCATGGATATCCCTCTTCAACTTCTGCATCCACGAAGTATCCGAATATGTCCCTACGAATCCAGTCGCCTGGGCTTTCTTATTTCGATTGAAGTCCTCGTCTGTATAGTCGACCACCTGAAACGTCTTTGCTGAATTGTGTCCCATTCTTCCCGTTGCGTCGTTGATCAGAGCTTCGGTGCCTGATGGCGACGCCGTTGCCTCCGTAGACATCATCACTCGATCAGCCGGGTGATACTGCTGAAGTGGATTAGAGGGGGTTGGAAGGGGCACACGGTGCGTCGAGCGCACGTTGGGCAGAGCCCTCTCGATGAGTCGTGCATCTTGTTCGTCCACCCGGTATTGAAGCTGCCGCAACAAGGCTTCATAATTGCGGACCTGATTGGAGAGCTGCTCTAACTCCCTGTTTGCAATCTATCATCAGTCCCAGTTCCTTAAGAATAATACGGAGCAGAACGTACTTGGCCACCCGTTCCCTTTTCCCCTCGCTATAATAGCAAGCTACCCCGTATCCCTGACAGCGTTCGCATGCTGGTTGTTGTCCGCCGCACTTGACCTTTTGCTCCCGGCACGGCTCACAGGCTCGCGCAACTCGTCTCCGGCCAGAAGGTTTCGACTGAGACGAGGCATCTTCTGCGTTCATGGCCGACTGCGGCGTCTTCGGGGACGGGAGGTCTGCGCGTTCGGGGATCGACGAGGCACGGCCGGTACGATCCGTTCGCTCCGCAGGCGTCGTGCTGGAACGATGTCTCTCATCAGGTTGCGGATGTGTCGCAGTGAGCGCCGTATCGTTTGAATCTGCTGAAGAGGCTCTTCCCGCGGGGCCCGGCGATGCATATTCAGCATCCAGCCTCAGTCGTCGTCGCTTCCAGTCGCCCATGCTGCCAGCGATGAATCAATTCCCTTATCGCCCACCGACCTGGCTCATCTCGTGGAAGAGAAAAGACAAGAGATCCAGGATGGCTGCTATGCCTCGATTGACGAGTCCAGACGTCAAAAAGAGGTCAGTGCGCGAGATGGCAGGTTCGTTGCAAGTATGCGGGGAGTTCCTCTTCTTCGGGTTCTCTAGCAGCAGATCAGATCAAGTTTAGCTGAGCCTCAGAAGATACGGGAGAACTCTCTCACACGCGGTGGCGTCTCTCTTCCCCACACGGCAGTTTCAGCAATTTTTTTTTTTTTTCTTCCTTCGTTGCCGATCACTAGTCGAGCCACGACCCGAATCCTTTACTTCTGCTCGATCTACCGTCCAATGGCTCGTGGATAGCCGCTGAAGGCGCTCGGGTAGAAGGGAAGAAGTCCTGGTGCGATGTCGGTATAATATGTGATAATGATAATCCAGTCGATCTCCCCCCATAAGCGCAGAAGGGACAAATAATGCTCGTTGGCATGACGGATCGCGAACCATGTAACTATGTAACTACCCAGGTATTATTATCATAAAAATTACGCCCAGAGATAACTACCTAGTGGATCTAGAGATCTGCCTGTCATATCCACTACTGACTATGCAAAGACCGCATTTGCCACTCGGAAATTTTTGTTCTCGGCCGTGATATAACTGGAACGGCTCAGTAACTAGATCGATAGATCATCTAAGAGTATCACCCGCTCACAGTCAGCTTTTGGGGCCGTAGACCTCTGCTAAAGATCACCATGGATCGAACGTGTTAGAGCAGCTTCTGGGACGACTTCTCGGGCGACTCTCATGGAGAACCGCGTCTCTCATCCCGACAGTCTGGTATGACAGTGTCTTACTAGGACCGTACTTAAACGGTCAAAAGGCTGTTCTCCGATTGGGGCCGCAGGTAGCTTAAGCGTGAGGATATACTTCAATCTCTTTTTATTGGACCGGAAGAACTGCCCGGTCAGATAGGCTAAGGAGGACTGGATAAGTTCTCCGTTTGATGGTCATTATTAGCGTCGCTGGTTCTTTATTCGATCACAGTTTGGGATTGCGATTCGAATCTGGAAGCCAGCTGTGCTCATTCCCCTTGGTCATACCTTACTGGTGCATCAAAAAAGATGCAATATGAGACCGATGGCCGAGACGAGTGCGGATGAGGTTTCCGCATCTGTGCAGATCGGATTGTGTGGCTAGAATCGAGATGCTAATGTACTTACAACCACACATAAAGGAGTGAAAGAGTACTTGGAGGGGGAAATGAATATGCCGGAGTCATCAAGATACTCAAACAGACACACTCCATGTGAGCCATGGGCATAATCTCGTCCCCCATTTAATGGTTTCTGCTTGGCGACAACAATACTCCATTCATCTCTTGACACTCAGAGGCTATGCTGTGTATAACCCATATAGGTACAGAATTGACGTCGCAGTATGCACATATTTGCGCTGTTGTTGTTGTTGTACAGGTCATACTAGTTGACAGAGATGCATATAAATTTTATAGACCCCACTCATTGTATGCCACAATCGCATGAATCAAGCCCGAGAGAGCATGAAGGATCCATCGACCATGCCAACCGCCGTAGTCGAGACCTCCGTAGGCCCAGACGATGTACGCATCCAGCTCCGCTGCAACCTGGACGCAGAAGAAAAATCCGTCAGCAACGACATAGGCGCCTATTAACGTAGCATAGCTGCGCGGTGACAGATGAGAAAAGGATTCGAAGACTGTTACGCGATAGCTTTACGTACTGAAGTTGCAAACATTAGCGCCTTTATACCCTCCCTGTTATGTTGAAATCCGAGTATAAAATGGGCGACTCCGACCATAACATCTCGCGCCGCAGTGACGTATAGAAACGTCGAAGGAGCGGACTCGACGCCAACACCTGACGGTGAAGGAGTCTTCGTGACCGGAGGATAGTATAGGGGAAGGCCAAAGAGATCGTATGCTTTGCGCGGATTAAATAGTGGGATCGTTGATAGTCCTAGAAATGTCGTTCCCAGGAATACTGCCGTCGGAGGAAGGCCCAAGGGAGTAATTAAAGACATAGTCGAATGTTTGGAGAATTAAATCATCGAACGACCACTTACTGAACAGGATATACCGGGTTTTTTTTCCCCTTTTTGAATGAAGTATGTTCTTTCTTGCTTCTGAAGTAGCCCGGGGACTTGATATAAAGGATGATGATATACCTATGATCGGATCTGTCATGTGACGATTGAGATTACATTCATTCGCCACTGTTCAAGACCCAGTAGAATTGCTATTTCGAGTAACAGACGTCTCTGTTTCGAAATACTTATAATATAATCTCGAGCATTACTGGAACTCTTCGTGATCCAACGGTAATGTTGTCTTGGTTCACTTCCCAAGGTAACAAAGCAGTCTTCACCCAATAGCTAGTTGTTCGTCTGTTCTATGAAAAGATTGAACAAATGTCCTCGTTTCAGCAGTAAATACACGGAACGTACTCCTGGTACAATATACCTAACGTTTACTATTTGACAAGCATTGCTCTGGGGGATCTTTGAAACCTATTGCGAGCGAGATTTAAGGGTGACGCGGATATTCTCATTTCTCACAAACCAGGAATTCGTGACCTTCCATTCATCGCTGGGAAAGCTTAGACCCATCTAAGAGAATCAGAGTTAGTCATTACAACAGGAAACTTCAGCGCTAAAATAAGGGTGTCTACAAACCTCGAAAGTAGAAAATAGAGTGGCGATGAGCTTGTAACTCTCGAGCTGACTGAGCCGTTTCCCTAGACATGCCCTCTTGCCAGCACCAAACGACAGCTCGCAAGATTTCATCTTTGAACGTCGTGTCTGGAATTCAGCTTCAGTTTCATGAATTTGCTTCATCCATCTTTCTGGGATGAATCTATCGGGTTCTGGACCGAATACAGCCTCGTCACGGTTGACAACCCAAGGATTCATGCCGACAATCGTGCCTAGAAGATATCAGTTTGTCAATCCCATTTTATGGGTTTCTCCAAGAAGCCACATGCCCAGTCACGTACCTTCAGGAATGTATCTACCGTCAGGGAGAGTCAAGCCACCCTCTGGGACGACACGTTCCAGCATCAGGGCGGCACCAGGATGGATACGCATGGCTTCGCGCATGACGGCGTCAAGGTATGGGAGCTGTTGTGCCTTCTTCCAGCTGACCGGAGTTTCAAGTGAAGCACATTCCATGCTGAGTTTCTCATGCACATTCGGATTCTTTAAGACATAGTAGATAGTGGCACATAAGAGATTTGCCGTGGTGTCGCTTCCAGCAATCAAGTTGTTGAGAAGGTAAGTTATCATCATATTGTCATCTATTATATCCGAGTATTTACTCCTAACACCCAGTAGCTTTTCGAGGAAGTCTGGCTTTTCGGGAGGACCGTTGGCTTGACGTTTCTGAAGGGCTGTGGTTCCCAGAACGACAGCCCAGTCCATAGCCGGGGGCCCAAATCGCAAAAAACGATTCTGGGATAGTAAGCGGTGCAGACGAGGAATTTGAGAAGTCTATGTCAAAATATGAGTATGAATCTGGGACAAGAAAACCACTGGGTACAAACTCGGGCAAAATAGTCACTGTCCTGGGCGGATATTTCGAGAAAACCGGTCACATCCTTTCCAGCATCGAGAATCCCGAGGTCTTCCCCGAATGTGATCTTGTTCATCAGATCCCAGGAAACTAAAGCCGAAATTCAGTTAATGAATGCTGGAGACCGCAAACTCCACTTACAGTATAACAGATACTGGTCCATATTGCAGACGTTCAGAGTCTCGGCAAATCGTTCCGTAAGCTTTTTGGTGAAGCACACGATCATCTCATCAATGCAATGTTCAAGTTCTAATAGTTTAGTCATAGAGTAGAGGGGAGCGATCGGACGCATATAGAATGAATGCCAATTTTCATCTCTTGTGGAGAATAGATTGGGTACGCTTCTTCCGTCCACTATAGGTTCCTTGACTCCATACATAGCACTCTATGGTTATATCACGTTAATGGGTCATTTCTAGATGGAATGGGTACAGTGATGAACGATGGGTTGAAATTGTGGTGACACCATACCTTTTTCCACAGAGTCTTGGTCGAGAAGACTGTGTTGATCAGATTTGGGTCCGACAGGCTAATGGTATTGGGGCCCATCCTGACAGCAGTTCCATGTTTCCGATGCAGTTTAATGTGCGTATTCTGGCAGTTTCCTCTGACAACGTCCCGGAATCGCCAAAAATTCGTGTATCTCGCCGCAACAGGCCCTGGAAACACTTTCAACGGAGACAGCAAGTAACTCCACAGCGTAGCAGAAAGAGCGAGGGCCGCCCAGAAGAGGAGTACCAGAACGAGAATACTGACAAATGACTCCATTGGATATCGGAATGATCAAAAAAGGAACTTCCTTGGCAGATTGAGGAGGTATATGCACTTTGTTCAAAAACAGTGGTAAGATATGGAACGAATTTGTACGGAGAATCTGTGAATTTCTCCCGTACAGATTTTAAATCACTCCAAACTGTAGTCGAGATATCCTATTCACGACCCGATGATCAGCAGTCAAATTCTCGGGGAAATGCCAACCAAGCACATAATAGCACAGACCAGCGCCCCTATGAGACATGTGGCTTTCATTGGATAATAATATTAACGCCACCTTCTGAAGCAGGCACTGAGAGGTGGTTATCATGTAGAAGATAAGCTCACGTCCTTTGTGATGGGACTAGATATCTCACATGCTTATTCTGATGATCTTGCTTGGTTCAAAACATCTATAATCGTCAATCAAATAATAAGGGGAAGGTACGAGACTCCCAGGCGTGTATTGGTCCTTGCGCAATCCTTTCAGACGGACACTTTGGACTGATTACATAGCTTATGTATAGTCTGGGTCGCTGCAAGGACGACATCGAACCCAATAATCCTTCGCCATCACCTGGCAAAGTTCCACGGTCTCAAGAGTTTAAGGAGACCGCTAGTCTTCTTGAGGGATTGACATCAGTCGCAAAATTTGGAGGACCCCATACATTATGCAATTCATACCGCGAAGTTTTAGTCTGTGAGTGTTCATAGTTGCGGTCTAGCAGGAAAAAGGGTCATATATGCGACAAGTACAGCCTTCAGTCTCAAAGAAAATGGGGTTTAACTATCCGGGGACTGGCAATAAAAGATTATTTTCTTGACCATGGTTCGTTCTTTGTTATCTTGGCTGCTGTTGGCGGATAGACTTAAGAATAGCCTTGATCAACTAGCTGTACTTCGGTCAATGAAAGAACACGCCACATCCCAGCACCCATGGCCCCTTTGATTCTCCCTTTCATTGACAACTAAATTCCCTCAATGAGCACAATTCACCAGCAGCCGATTTCTAGACGCTAAGGATATTCGCTCTACATTCTGATTGTACATACCATGTTAGGATACTTAAGCTGTGCTCGACTACGTTCCACGCAAGGTCCAAACGGGAGAAGAGGAGTGTAGTCAATGCAGCCACAATAACAATAACATCCAATGATAGATGATGCACACCCAAAGATCCAGCAAGATGCGAGAATGGCCCTCTGGGCAATGATCGCCGATGTGACCGTCGCCCTCTCGTTACGAATCTTACAAAAGTACAAGCATAACTTAACTTGAGCAGCGCCTCGATTCCATTATCTCAGCCGGTCATAGAGAATAGATATTATCAAGCTCAAGTACAATCTGCTGGTTGGCTCCGAGATATGAGCTCAATTTTGGGTTTTTATATCAGTTAATAACTAGCTTGTAGATGATGACACACGGTGCGCAGAACAGCATCACGCACTACTACCAGAAGAGAATAGATAGTCCAATTGTCCGAGTTCATTGATCCATAAAACATTGAAATCGACAATACCAAAGACAAAAGGAATAACCCCCATTGCTGGGATGTTTGTCATACAGCAGAATCGAAGTGCTTGGTGCTTCTTGGAGGAATCTTGTAGCGATGCTTGTCACCTCACCTGCACCGAAGCGCTTTTTGCACGGAGTTCCGTTGGACATCATTATTGCGAACCAGCCCAGGTTGGGAGGTCCGCAAGACTTGGCGGTTGCAGTAGCGGTCGCAGTAGCATTGCTGAACCTGTACACATGCGTTGGTATAGGCGATCCCGTCCGTGGATTGGTGGTCATTGCATGTTGTGTTAGGCCATACTTAACCCGCATCGTCCATAGCGATGTCATGGTCGCCGATGATCACATCCCGTGCAGGGTCTTGATTCACAGAATCAATGCAGGTTCCCGTATCGCTATAATAAGAACCGCAGTGCACAATGTCTATGGATATCCAGAATGATCAACAGGGACTTCCCAGGACATATTCTAGCGTATGCGGAAATGGACTGGAGTACTAGCAGAGTTCTCCTGGTCACCGCGCCTGGATATCCATGCATATGGACGATAGTACTACGCCTCTCAGGCCTTATAAAGCCGCCGATGCTGCTATACGCTAGCACAAAGTCCTAAGAACGAGGTACAGGTCAATTCATACTGTCAATATGCGGCTTCATCCTCGCTCGATCCTCCTTTCGGCTGCACTGGCGTGGTCAGTGACAGCAGCCCCAACGGAACAGGTGGATGATAAGAGATCCATCGTCGAGCGAGATGGAATCACCTACCATGTGTTCGAGCATGCAGCAACAGGTGCGAAGATGGAGTTCGTCAAGAACTCGGGGATCTGCGAAACCACCCCCGGAGTCAACCAATACTCCGGGTATCTGTCCGTAGGAACGGGAATGAATATGTGGTTCTGGTATGTTGTCCGAGGTTGGTCAATCAACCTTATCTAATATATTCAGGTTCTTCGAGGCCCGAAATAATGCCAGTAACGCGCCTCTTGCAGCATGGTTCAACGGTGGCCCAGGTTGCTCTTCGATGATCGGATTGTTCCAAGAGAATGGGCCGTGTCATTTCGTAAATGGAGAGGAAACGCCATCCCTCAACAATAACAGCTTCAACAACTTTGCAAATATGCTCTATATCGATCAACCGATTGGGGTCGGATTCTCCTACGGCGTAGACAACGCGACGAGCACGAAGACAGCAGCACCGTATGTTTGGAAGCTGCTTCAGGCATTCTATGCTCAGTTCCCGGAGTATGAGAGCCGAGATTTCGCGATATTCACCGAGGTACCAATCCCGTGCTGAATCAAGAAAACCAGTGCTAACCAGCGCAGTCCTACGGTGGACACTACGGACCGGAATTTACCCATTATATACGGAAGCAGAACGACGCAATCAAGACAGGCATGGTGGATGGTGAAAACATCAACATTATCGCTCTTGGGATCAACAACGGCTGGTTTGACAGTGCAATTCAAGAGAAGGCATACATTGACTACGCATACAATAACACGTACAGGCAATTGATCAATGCTACCCAGCGTAACTCGCTCCTTGACTTTTACGCCAATGATTGTCTGCCAGCAGTCGAGAAATGCACTCGGAATGGCTCCAACCAGGAGTGTGAAAATGCAAGTACTACGTGCGGCAGTGAAATCGAACAGCGCATCATTGACAGTGCAGACTTCGATGTCTACGACGTTCGGCAACCATCTAATGATCCTTATCCACCGGCGACGTACTCCAGTTATCTACAGAAGGCTGATGTGGTGAAAGCAATCGGCGCAAAGACCGCGTATCAGGAGTGTTCATATGCTGTATCCTCAGATTTCCAAGGAACAGGTGACGGTAAGTTCACGCACCATCGATGTTTCGCTATTTCTATGTGGCTGACAGCATGAGTAGTTTCTCGCACCTACCTAGACACACTTTCCGCTGTAGTGCAGTCTGGTATCAGAGTTCTGCTTTGGGCGGGTGATGCGGACTGGATATGTAACTACAAAGGAGTCCAGAAAGTGGCAGAAATGGTGGACTTCCCAGGTATAACCGAGTTTGGGAACGCGCAATTGCAGTCGTATACGGTTAATGGAGAGAAGAAAGGCGAGTTCAAGACCGTCGATAACTTTTCATATTTGAGAGTATATGGTGCTGGCCATGAAGTTCCATATTACCGTGAGTGGACTTCTAAGCATCTTTGGAGTGTTACTGATAAGGAAACAGAACCACAAACTGCGCTACAGGTCTTCGAGCAGACAGTTAAGAAAATGGCCATTTCATCTACTTAGTTCCTTGGGCAACCTAATGGCTGGTTATCGCCACTGCTAACGAAAGGGTGGATGTGTTAATCGGCAGCGTGGGGGCCAAAAGAGCAGGAAAAACAAATATCGAAGTCCATCAAGTACACGTAGATCGCGCCTCGAATGAAGTCTATACTTAGCAAAGCTTTTCACCTAGTAGCTTAACGCTCTAGCCAATATGTATTCTTTTTTCTATTTTTCATAGCACTGTAATAATGTAATCTCCTGTCAGTTTATGATGATGCCGATTGGAAATATTTCAAAGGGGTGATAAATAATACTACGCATGCTGGCCGACCAAACTCCGGCTCTATTGGCGATCGTCAGTGGGTCGACAGATAGACGCAACTCTTATCAACCTGTTTAACAACATAAGGGGCAATAATAATGACCAACTTTTGGCAAGAATGCAGTCCCATTTTTTGAGGTGGATGTCGTAATATCAAACATGGATGACCTAACAGTGTCTAAACTTACGGCTCTTGATACGCATTCTCTTCAGACATACACACAAAACACTCAATTATACACAGACGTTTTTTGAAGAATACCTACAGTATAGAGTAGCTAAGAGCCAAATAGGGCTCAGAGCCTCAGGATACCGCCATGTGCACAGGTAAAGTTCCCAGAGCATGTTCCTGTCGATCTGGCAGATGAACACGCTTGGACCATGATGGATGATGCGGAAGAACTTCCTCCTAGCCAACAGTTCATATGGATCTTCAATGCCAGTCTCACCTAGCGTGTGGGCCCGGACTAACGCTGCTCACGCGGGAATTTCTGACCGTCATGTTTCAGGGGAAAGATATCGATAAGGCCCCAGAAATTGTCTGAAAATGATGTATATCGGGCGATTAAAAAAACGGTTCGTGCTCCCTGTTTTCCTGTCTCCTTTGTCTGGATATTTACTTCACAAATTCAAGTACTCACATGACAATGGAGGTAAAGAAACATCTTGTTCGTCCCGATGCTCCTTTCGAGGCCACTTGCCCGCTGTCTCCGGCCGATGTGCAAATCCCGCTTCGATATATTCGGAAAGTTTTTGTTTACTCGCTCGACCAGTCGGACGAGGGCTTCAATTCAGCAGAAGCGATAGATAACTTAGCTTCCCGCCTCGAAGACAGTCTCAAAACATTTCTTAGGCCACTTAGCGAAGACGTCTTTGCATTTCCCCAGCTGCTCGGCCGAGTAGTCGAGCCAGAAAACGCACATCCTTATGTTCTCGTTGATAAATCGTCAGCAATACGTTTTACTGTCGTTTCGAGACAAGATATCTCATTCGAGGACTTGCAACCGGAGAAGAGATTCCCTGACCATGCATGGTGGATCGACTATTTCGCAACGGGCCTCAATCTCAGTGAGATGGGAAAGGCCCCCAATGCGCCGGAAAGCTTCGTCGTCCAACTGACATCAATTCGAGGGGGTATCGTTCTCACTGCACAAGTAAGCCATCGAATCACCGATGGCTATGGGTTTGCTGGTTTCATTCGTCGCTGGTTCTCGAGAGCACGAGCAGCTTCGGGAATCCAAATACACGAGCAAGATCTTGACAAGTCACTGGCACTCGCTATTCATGATAGAGGTCGATTAACCTGGGACATAGACATGGCCAAGGCGGGAACAGCCATGGCTTCTGTAAAGAAATGGGAAGCTCACTATGCGGAATCGGCGAATGCAACGGCGGGAAATTCACTTATAGGGACTGACAATGTTGAAACCAAGATATTCTGGATGAGCAACGAGAAGATCGAGGAACTGCGAAAGCTGATAGGGGAGTATACGACCTCACAGCCGACGGCGTTCGAGGCCATTGTTGCTTTCGCTTGGCGATGTCTTTCCCGTGTGCGCAGCGAGTCAAATGCCCATAGTCTCACAAAGACGAGGAGCAACATTAGTGCAAGCATGTTCGGCGTTGATTCCCGACGCCGCTTGAACCCTCAACTACCAGTTGAATACTTCGGAAATGCGACAGCGCTTATAGTTGCTCGACTTCCTGTTTCGATACTGTCATCTGCACAGCCCTCGGCGATCCACAGCGTCATCGCAGAGGTCCAAAATACCCTGCGGAATGATACCACTGATCCAAACTTGAGACAGGTTATCCAGCATGTCGCTGAGAATCTCAAATTGGGTAAAAACATCCCCCTCGATCTTCCTGGCAACGACTTTATTTTCAACTCCTGGGAGCACCTTTATTCCAGCGCGGATGAACTGGATCTTGGGATCGGAACATTCCGTGCTGTTCGGTACTTGATGGACGCTCCTATAACTCCATCGTATCTTTTAATCCTGCCGTCTTTCGGGCAAAGGAAGCGAACGCCAAGAACACGTCATTATTCCGCCCGTTATGCAGGAGGGTTGGAATTGAAGTTGAATCTCCCGCGTTATCAAATGGAAAAGCTGGAGAACTCCCAGGAATGGACTCATTACGTATGTGGTTATTAGGCTTGCAGGTTTGGTGAGATGAGCAGGTAGGAAACATCTTCTGGCCTACTTGCACGGCAAGGGCTGGTCATCCTGGAGGGTGTCTATCTCGCGTCTATCCCACACTTGTTCGGAGAATGAATCCGTAAAGCAGACTACCAAACTACCCATACATGCTGATTGAGCTCATCATGCAAGCATCGACCAACAGGCTCTATTGCCGATCAGCAAAACATCGTGCCTAATACGTTGGAATGTGGACTGGAGAATGGCTTCCTTATCTACCAATAAGGTCCGCTATTCTGACGAGGTTGGATTGTTCGTTCTATGGCGCTTATAAAGACCAGCACCTCTCTTGAGCTTTTTACGAGCCCATATGCCTGTCTGATCTTCATTCATTGCCCCACAGCGGATCTGGAAATCGGAGAAAGCATGGAGATCTTGGAGGGAGACTTACTACACAACTGGGTATCTATGTCGTCGGCTATTCGTGTATTTTCTTAGAACCATATACTCTATCTAGGAAAGAAACGGTCCTCACCCTGCTTAGAAAATCGTCATACACGCCCGCGAGTCGCGAGTAGGCCTTTCTTTCTCATTTTCTGGCTACATTTAGTATCGGGATTCATGGTGTTGAACTGTCAACACAGACGCATCCGGTGCGCTCGATATGATTGGCTCATTTTGTTCTTCGCTTTATATGATTGGAGCGCATGTTTATTCGATACTATCCGATACCACAGAGACGACGCACATATTGTAGCCGTGCTGCATTCATGCTCTGCTAGGACAATGCGCCAACATGGAGTAAAGCCGGTTTTCTCGGTTATTGGCCCCTGCTGCTTCCAGAGAACAACTTGCTGCCACGGTTCAATAATGACTTCTGTTTTTGATCCGCGGCACGGGCGGAGTCGAAATGCGCCAACATTAAATAATTTATATCGGTGGCATATGAATAATGGTACGTCAGAGAATGCCCCAGTCCCATTTGAGAAAACACCTTGTTAGAGCCTTTCACTGCGGCAACCGTTCATAGATATCGAAGTTGTATCAAGTTCTGATCTGACTTACTACGTTGGGGTGTGACGTTGTGAAGGAAAATAGTTAAAGTGCAAAGACACTTTCACAGGTCCTTGCCGACGGTAATTTCCATTTGCTTGCTTGTCAGGCCCGATGCAGGGGTTCTTCTGTGTGTTAAACAGTAATGATATGAAATTGTGGAGACTGGGTCTGCATGATCTCATCGAGCAATTGTTATATAATTCATGGAGCTTATCCTTTGCGCGAATCTGACCGCACCTCCCTGCGATGATATTGACTGCCTATCTCCAGCAGTAATGCAACAATCGTCCCAAAAGGTAGCGATACCAAGGCTTCAGTGGACATCGCTGGAATCCTCTGAACCGCGAAGGGTGGTACGCAGACGTGCCGCAAAAGCCTGTCAGCCCTGTCGTTCCCGCAAAGCCAAATGCGACGAGGCTACTCCGATCTGTGGACATTGTCGAGACTTGAGACTGGATTGCCGCTATGAAAGCGGCAAGAGAGAGAAGCAAAAAAGGTCCGTGAACACGACTAATGATTCAAGAAGATTGACTAACTTGGCCAAAAGACAATTCGAGGTCCTCTGTGAGAAAGTAAGAGTATATGAAAAGCTCCTCCATGATCTCAGCTTAAGTGCAGACTATGCAAGTCGTCTGCGTATCGAAACCGTCCTCGCAAAGGTTAGTCCAGCATGACTGCAGCATGCTTCTCTTTCTCAGTGGCTGATACCCCAACACATTTTTGGTCTATAGTTCTGCGATCTAGAAACAATCGATTCCCTAGTGGAGCCGAGACCTACCTCGACGCCCTCGGATAGACGGGGTCCGGGAATGAGTGCAGCGTCACCATATATGGTGAGAAGTGCCAGAAATGATATTCTCACATCTGAGAGTTCAATATCCTGTCCTATGAGCTCCATCAGCCCAGGCCAGACATACGAAAAATCCAAGTCAGGCGGCATGCTAGCATGGGGAAATTCAAAGCAAAATTTCAGCCTGAGCGGTGTTTGTGGATATGACGCACCTCTGTCGAAGCAATGGATGACTGGGCTTCCTATTACCGGGTTCCCTCTCATCGATCACTTCACAATGAACGATGGCGGCCAGCAAACTCGCCACTGCCCAGCCGAAAGTGTGTTGCCCTGGCTTGGGGCTATCGGTTTTCCGAGCCCGTTAGCACAACGTCAGACCGGATAACGGAGGGATCACTGATAGCAGGAGTATCGGGAGCGATATATCATGATCGTCTGTCCATTGTAATTTCCTTCTTTTGCTGCGGCGTTCTTCGGAGGGAGCCCTCGACATTGTTGTGCGCTGTTTGATGGAATGGAGTGTACGTACGTGAGGCTATATCAGAAGAGGGCAAGTGCTCCCAATTCCATAGCGGTTCCGCACAGGGCACATATGCTTGCTAGTGGCCGAGTCAGGAAAGTTGACTATTGATGATCGCCAGGAAATGAAGACAAAAAAGCTTGATTCAGTCCAGTTAGAGTCTCGATTCGACGACTTCACCCGGAAGGGTACTGCTGTAACCACGTTGTGTCTTGAGGATCTGAATAGGGCCTACGCTCCTTGGCAGTGTAACCTTCGACAGAGATATATCTCAAACGCCGAGCTATGCCTTACGGTTAACGAGGGAATAATCACGTTGGTTAAATCGGCTTTTCTGGAGAATCAGTCACCTTGGTCACCCGCCAAGCAGGTTTGAGCTCCACAGGGAAGAAACCACTACATGCGATACCGGGAAGGTTCCAGCGTTAGAAGGGCATCTAGCATGACGGCAACCTATACAACTCAGCTGATTCAATAGTTCTCATTAGCTACAAATATTTGCGTGGCAGATTCTGCTCAGGGGCAGGTATCCTGTCCCACGGATTGATGGTACCCGCACAATTCCCCCAAGATGACTCTGGAGCTACGGAAGAGTCTCGGGAAGTGAACTAGGTTTGAAGAGTTCGCACCATTGTTGGACGGAGCTAGAAGTGGCGTCTCTTCAGCTAGTTTCCAGTCTTTATGCCCAAAGAGCGAGGCCTCCTGCTTCTACTCGATAGCGGCAGCAGAGAATGGCCACGCGCAAAAAAATTCATAGATGGAATTGTCTAAGCAACGGGGCAAACGAGATCTATATTAAGGACGGGAAGAGGCTTTTCTGTCATTTAACAGCTCGCGCCTGATGGAAGTTTGATTGGGTTTCGCACTGGGTACACTCATTTCTAACGGTGAACGTGCTGCCCGCCTCTTATTATCGGTCCTCCTTGATGGGTTTATTTTCTGTGACAGTCCAAATCTCTCCATATATTAGTAAATTGGCATGGGATGCATGTTATGTAAATATCAATTGCTATTGTCATCTCATTATTTTTTATTCTGTAGTTGTAGAAGACTTCAGTGTATTATGGGAAGTATTTCGTTCACGCTCCAAGGGGACATTTATTGATTCGCTATACTGTACATTATTTCAAATGAAAGGGCAGTATCTTGATTCACAAGATCTGTTTTGGAGGTCTACTTACCCCTAAGCACACCAAGTATGGTCGTTGTCTTGTTCACATCTTCGGAGCCCCCGATAAATTTTCAACCTTAGTAGTTAGCTCTGTTGTTCGCACGATACAACCGTCCCAAGGGTTGGTGGGCTGTTGGTGGGATTCAGGTTCAACAATGCGATCTTGGCTGCCATGCTCTGAATTTCGGCTACCAGAGCCGTTGGAGGTCTCCACGTTGTCTGTAGAATTATCCAACGCAGTGATGTTCGTCGTAAGTTCATAACCCTTGGTATCATCCCGACTAATGCCTGGGTTCGGTTCAGTCCGTGCGGCAGAGAGTTTGTTGAAGCCTCCTTTGCTATTGCTACTCCGGTGGAAGAAGCCACTATGACTGTCGTTCCGCTTCCCATATCGATACGAGGAGTCCAAAAGCAACTTGGGAAGGAATGTCACTACCACCACCTTCATTGAAGGTATCGAGGCCGCAAGGATGCCGATATTAGTTTCAATTACCGACCAGTACATGGCATTTGAGATCACGTAGGTCGAGTCAGGAGAGGAGAGCATGCGCGGAATATAGGTGATTCGAATTATCGAGGAGACACACGCCAAAAGACCAAGACAGAGCATGACTCCCACGGCAATCTTCTGCTTCCGAGGCATCTGCAGCTTTCGAACAGTATTCCAGGGTAAGCAATAGGTAAGCAGATCGGTTGTGATGTTTGTAGCCGCATTGGCGAGGTAGAAGGCGTTGATGTTGACACACGTTTTCTTGGTGATTGCGGTATCCCATGCTGCTGGAATCGGGTTGCACTGGAAGATGCACACGAGGACATTCGCTGTAGCTTGAGAACCGACAACCGCAATCATAATGTATGACATCGTCGTAAGGGTTGAGTCTCCCAGTCGGGAATACAGCGATAGGACAGACGTCTTAATGAAACCCAAGGTGGCATTGTAGAAGATCGAAGAAACCCAGACGACCTAAAGTCAAGATGTTAGACGCGAGGCCGTACAAATAGATAAAAGAAACACACCTTTGCGTACTTTGTGATTGTTCCCATCTCCAAAACGACATCAATATGGTTCCCCAGACCGTAATGGACAGCTAGTCTGTGTAAGCCGCGACGTCCCTGGACTAAAGATCGGATCTATCTTACCAAGAACAGTTGCAATTATAAAGCCCCATGACAAGAACTAATAACATGTTAGGCAAGGTTTGCGACAGTCCAGCGTAGGGAATCATACACTCGCAATCACTATCAAAACTGTACTTGATGTCAGTATTATTCCCTAAAAGTTTCATGAAGGTTGGGTATAACGAACCATCATCCGCTCCAACTGCTCGAACAAGTGCTATACGGCCGTACAACCGGATAGTTATGACACAGATGGTGATCACTCCGAAGACAATGGCCACTGTATTTACCGTATGCCCCACGGGAGAACCACTTGATGTACTGGACGTCGCCATGTTGCTGGGACCCAGTCCCCTGCAAATATGAACTTGGGAAAGGAAGAATCTTTGGAAAAGCAGGAACAAAAGAGACAGCTGCAAACCACCGAAATCCTAACCGACTCAGGAGATTCAACGGCATATAACTAGCACATCACCCCTAGTATATAATCGCCTCATGTGAAGAGAACTTAAGGTTAGTCCCCTGATTCATGACTATATGTATTATGCCAAGTCTGTTACATCTTAAAAAGCCGTATACATATAAGGTTTCTGGCCATTTTTCTTTTTTTCTTCCCCTAGACCCTTTGATATCTCTGCCTTCTGACTTACCGCAGAGGCAAGCCATCCTTCAGGTCAATCCGGGTCTCTCCGTCTGGTCTATGAAGACGACGATCCTACCTATTATCGAGTATGCCGCGGGCCGAAGACGGTACCAAGCCGGGGGATACTGGGACACTGGCACGCGACAAGGGTTCCATAGGAAGTCTCGTATTTGCATGGATAATTAGAAGACAGAATTGTTCCTGGCGTCTTGCACGGGACAGACAACATGGTCGGGCTGTGACGCCCCTGCTTCCGCGGACCGCAGTCGTTGAACTAGAACTAGCACGATATACCTAAACCCCACCAGTTTCCACTATGCTCCGCTAATCAATTGACTGCATCGATCGGGATCGGGACCAGGTGCAAAGAGCGCTTCATGGCACCCCCGTCGTCGGTGGGGATCCGTGAATCTTGATAGTTTGACGGCGCAAATGATAATAATGAATTGGTCCCTGAATAAAGTTCCATCGGGCTGGGCCGCTGACAGTTAGCCTAGGTAGAGCTACCAAAGCAACCTGTAACACTTGGACAGAGCTAAAGCGCAGGGAAGTCAAGAGGGTTCTAACTTCTCGCAATCATCAGCAGGTAATCTTCAGCTTCCAGGGTCTTTAGGGTTCTGATACATAATTATTCGAGCATTACTCCGTGGTCTGTGTGGCGCCCTATCTGCAACTTGTTCGTCAGCCAGAAAGGGCACAGTGACGGCGCTCCTCTGCGGCGTCTTGTCTCGCTTCTTGTACATACTTATGCAGAATGCTGCGCCGCAGCCGGTGGTCCGCGACACTAGAAGCGCAGATCGGCTTCAGGTCTTTCCCGCGATAGACTAGATACAAGCACCGAACACGAGCCAACGGTTGCAAATCCTTGCTTGTTTCCTTTTGGTATAGACACGCTCGGAACTTCTCCGGATCCTCGGACGAAAGACAGTTGTGTACGGAGTAGTAGTAAATAATTAATAAAATCAGTTTTGTTTGTCATGTGGTCGTTTGGATTGAGTCATTGACTAACCTAACTGCCCTTAAGTTAATCCCGGTGATTCCTTCACCAACTGACAATCCTGACAAGCAAGCTCCTAAAACTCTGTCCACTGTTTCAATAATGCCTCTGCCACCAGTAAGTATAGACTAAATCCCTCTTGTTTTGGTCGGTCGCCTAAGGATTGCCAGTTTACCGTTCCCCCTGGCTGGACCTCGAACCCATCAAGTCCTTATTATCTGGAAGAGTGGATAGGCGCCGACTCCGAAGGTCAACTGATTGCTCGAGCCTATGGTCTCCAGCCAGGACAGCCAGTTATGGAGGATAATAACGGGTGGCACACAATTTTCCTGTCTGGCAATAAGTTCTATCTTTGGGGGCGGATGGGCGACGAAGTCGAAGAATTTGTGTCTCAAGATATCCACGAGATCGCTTCTTCAATTTCCCGGTCGGGGCTTCGAGAGCTAGCCAGGAAGCCTGTTGATTAACTTCTGTCTAGACTATACGACTCAGAAGGGTGAAAGCAGTTAAAAGTTGAAGCGGCGATGAAGGCGTTTTTATAGAAACACGCACGACGATAGTAATGTGCCGATAGGAATAATAATAATAGACACGCTAAACTCCGCGTAAGTGATTCACCGTCCCGGAAGACTACGGGGATCGGCTACTACTAGTCGCTGCTATCACGACATTACTACTTGGCTGCGTCTGGACCTTCTGAGGGTTGTAGCGGCAGTATGGCTACTCTGTACGGAATGGTAATCATAATCATAATAATAATAATACACTAACTATGCCCCAGACGACTGCCGTCCATTTGGCCTGTCCTGCCAAGCCATTTGAGAGGACGCCATTATTAATGTTTCCTCTGTTTATCGTGTGGTGTGCCTACCATTCGTGCTAACTGAACACAGCGGCAGTCAGGAGCCTCGTACTGGCTGTGATTTAGCCTCCGCAGTGATTCGGAGGGCACGTAAAACTGAAAAGACAGCATATGCTGTAACCGCTGATACTGCAGCACTTGATCATGGCGATGGAGGGTTCCAGCGCACTTTCTCTCATCACACCGGGCAAGATTGTCCTCCTGGTGCTGGGCTACTATGTTCTTCGATTCTTATGGCAAATTATTTATTATCGGCTATTTCATCCCCTTTCCAAGTTTCCTGGTCCATTTTGGGCGTCAGTGACGCGCCTGTGGATTGCATACTACAACCTGAGAGGAGATGAGTATCGCGTGGTTTACGGCCTGCACAAAAAATATGGTATGTATCAATGCGCATGAAGAAACTCTCACACAGTCCATTAGCCGTATCTGATAATGTCCAGGGCCTGTCGTTCGAATCACCCCGACGTTACTCATCGTGAGCGATGCCACGAAACTCCCTGAGATCTATGACCGGTATGCCGACAAGACAGCCCATTATATCACCGGCAGTTTTGGAAAGACCGAATCGTTATTCAACATGCGGGATCACAAGAAGCATGCGTTTTACAGGAAGCTCGCTGCTGGCCCTTATAGCTTCACCAATGTCAAGAAAATGGAGCCACTGTTTGATCTCCGCATCAGTCATTGGATCTCCAAGATGGAGGAGAAATTCGCAAACACCGGCCAGAAGTTCGACTTTGCGCCTTGGGCGGTCTATATGGCCTACGATATTATCTCTGAGGTGGGTTTTGGTGCACCATTTGGTTTCACTGAAAAAGGAGAGGACGTCGGTGGTCTCATACAAGGTTTCCATGACGGTCTTCCTGCCTTCGGGCTCATGGCTCGGCTGCATCCGTTTACTACATGGATCAAGACCACCTGGGTTGGAGACAAATATTTGGTTGCGAGTCCTGAGCAGGAATCGGGCATTGGTACCTTGATGCGCTTTCGCGACAGACTTCTCAAAGAGCGAATCGAAGATATGGAATCCGGCAAGACTATGTCGAGAACCGATTTGCTACAGACGTATGTCTATCAGATCCTGTTGAGACGAGTACTGAATCGCTAACCGGATTGTGCAGTTTCCTGGATGCTCGCATGGAGGATGGTAAACCGCTTGACATGGACTACATTAAGGCCGAGATTCTCCTGGTTCTCCTGGCAGGTGCAGACACGACGGGAACTGCCTTCCAGGGCATGATGACTCTGATCTTCAACAACCCAGATGTATACGACAAACTCTTGGCAGAGATTGACAGCGCCACAAGGGCCGGCCATTTGTCGGAGATTCCACAGTATGAAGAAGTGATCGCTCATTGCCCGTACTACATTGCCGTGGTCAAGGAGGCCATGCGGCTCTGGCCATCTGCTCCTAACATTTTCCCTCGCACGGTTGGCGAGCGTGGTCTGACTCTAGCCGGTAAATTCGTGCCTCCTGGTACCGAGGTGACCTGCAACCCGTGGATTGTCCACCGTGATCGGAACATATACGGAGAAGATGCGGAGGAGTTTCACCCGGAGCGGTGGCTCGATCCTGTCAAGGCCAAGGAATTCAACAAGTATAACATGGGTTTTGGCTATGGGGCGCGGGTCTGCCTGGGCCGCGATATTGCTCTGATGGAGATGTACAAGGGCCCCCTGCAGGTAATGATTCGTCCCCACTCTAGCCATCTGATCGGTTACACACTAACAGGGTTCTATAACTAGTTCTTTCGCAAATTCCGTTTGGAAGTGTTGAATAAGGAGAAGTCGGCGGAGTTTGTTGTCAAGGGTGGTGTTGGGTTTTGGAAAGATCTTTGGGTTCGGATCGAGAAACGGGCCCCTGTTGTTTAGATTTAGCCGGTTCTTGTTGTTTCGCTCGGTATTATTCTGTGGCATTCACCCCTCTGTTTTCCTTCCCGATGGCATGTAATCAATGACCCAATTCATTACCCCCATCCTCTTCTAAGCTGCTCTTAAGGTGGAGGGGACGGACCCTTCGTCGCCTATAGAAACAACATACAGAGTACTCTGCACGGAATAGATAGGGTTTGACCCTGACGGGGAACGCATGTTGTCCAAGTTAATAGATCAGACGAGGCACCACACACCTAGTTACCAACTGTTGGCTCGAGCTGGCCGATCCTAAAGAACCGGGACTATCGATGTACGGCACGTGCCAATGGCTTTCATTTAGAGCCATCCACAAGGATATGCATTATTGTCTCCGTATTGGAAGCTATATCGAAAAAGACGGGGTCCTTTGGGATGTATTATTATTGCGGCACAGCATCAGCGTGTGTTAAGCTTTTGGGCCGACAAAACGTGGGCCCATTCATCCTCGTATAACATGGCATGAGGCAGGGCGGATATTAATTTTTGGATCGGAGAAGGTCGGGACTCGGAGGACGTTTTCTGGGCAAGACTACTATCCCTGCAGGCGTGCAGACTGGTTGATGGTATTGCTTCTTTGGACTTGGTTATCCTGCAACTTGGCATAGGAGCAGTTTGCTGTTAGGGCTCTCTGGGGCTTTGGTGAGCAGTCATTGGGCATCCTCAGTTTAGACCTCGCATTAGTTGGTTAGTTAGCAAATTGGTTTATTTTTTTAAGCGGGCTAAACGGATTGTGGATTCCGGCCGGCGTTTCTAGTGAATTTATTCTAGTACTGAAGTAGATTCAATTAGACGCGCCGCTGAACATCACGAACGCCACCCGGCCGGGTTCACGAGCTGGCCTACCGTCAGAAGCTTAAAGCTACAGCAGGCATAAGAGCGCTATACGGAGTAGTAGATGAAGGTATCGTGCCCCTGGCAGAAACTTCTTCCGAGGCTACTCTTGTCAGCCCCTATACTAGTCTGTTTCGATCCTTAGTCTGAAGAAATATGTTTACCCAATTTCGTGAAGAATAGCTAGGTAGTCTATCTGGTTCAAATCTACACGAAATGCTGCCTGTGGAAGGGGAGAAGCAAGAAGCGCATAGTAGATCAATACGGCCGAAGTCTTCCACTCTATCGATTAACATTAATGTTATCACTAAACGGCATGATTTGCAGAGAGATTGAAGAGAAGGTTTATTTGACACATCCGCATACCCTGGCTTGACTGTTGCACAGGTGGAGATCAAACCCGGCGAACGCTGTTGAAAAGTTAACCTTGATGGACGAGCTAACAAGGTATCGGACGGTATTCCTTCTTTGGTGCATAAACTAGTTTATCACTGTCAGGATATCTTCACGCTTGTTTAGAGTAACGCCACTCGAGGCCAATATGCATTGGAGCAGTTATAGCACGACGATATCCTGGACGTTGAAATTTTTGGCAGTTCAAGACCATGCCGATCCGTCTCCGAGGGGTGGTACATGTGTTGAACAGTTAGCGTGAATTCTTGTGCAGAAGGAAATTCGCTCTCCCTCGTGGTCTAAACAATTTCTTTCTCTGACTTCTGAAGCCTCCCCCTGTGCACAAGTCTCGAGGCTTTACCGGTGTCTCGCCAATCCTCACTTTGCTTCTGTATTCTATCAATTGTGTCGGTACTTGAACAAAACATGGGGTCTTCACCGGGAAGCAAAGTTTACCGCAATGCCATCCTGGCTGGTAGTTTGGGGTTTATCACCTTCGGTTGGGATGCCGGTGTGTTGGGTGGTATCCTGTTAACACCGGAGTTTCAGAACACCATTGGTGTAGGTTTTCTCTGACTGAGATGACTTGGTGTTTGGAAGTAGCTTACCCTCGCTATTGACAAGAACCCAACCAATACCTACAAACTGTCCATGATCACGTCCAGCTTCCTGCTGGCATCATGGCTGGGATGTATGATCATCTCCGCCTTCGGTCTGCGCCTAGGTCGACGAACATGGATTCTGGCGTCAAATGTCATCGAGATTATCGGAACCATTATCTCGGCCTCTTCATACAGTTATGGCCAGCTTGGTATGTTAACCCCGAGAAGTCATTACTCATAGCGCAACATGTATTAATATATGAGTAGTTGCGGGCCGAGTCATCATTGTAAGCATGACACGAAGGCAAGAATCTATCCAAGGAAAACATGACGGCTTATTATTCTCAGGGTGTCGGAAATGGCATCATGACCTCTATGATCCCCGTATACGTTGCGGAGATGGCGACTGAGACCCGCTACCGCGGAAAGGGTGTCAATGCAATGATTGCTGCGGCTTCCCTTGGTGTTGCCCTTGCATACTGGATGTAAGTTCTATCTGTCAATCTCCCTGCTTGATCTGATAAGTCATCTAACCTTGCAACAGCGACTTTGGAATGACCTTTGCCACGTCTCAGGCTGTCTGGCGCTTCCCGGTTGCATTCCAGATCTTCTGGTCCCTTTGTGGTATTAGCCTGCTTTGGACTCTCCCTGAGAGTCCTCGTTACTGTTTTGCTACTGGCGATGATGCCAAGGGCGATCAGATCCTGGAGCGTCTTTACGGGGCGCCCGTCACAGAATCTCGCGTCACAAAGGCAAAGAGGGATATTCTTGCTTCATTAGCTCTCGAGAACGCCGACACTGCCAGTCTACGCGTCAAGGACTTTTTCTGGGATACCTCAGACATACAGGCAGCTCGTCGTATCCGTACCGGTATGATTCTGGTCGGAGTTGCTTATTTGATGGGTGTAGATATGATCTTTTATTATACCACAACTATCTTCCGGGTACGTTAGTCTGATTCCATTGATTTAAGAAGTGATGCTGAGTACCAGACAGGTGTACATCGGTCTTCCTTCCATCACAGCGTCTGCGCTCGCGGCCTTTGCGAACACGGTCCTTGCCATCACCAATTACCTCGGTGTCTTCTACATGGAGAAACTGGGACGCCGAACGTGGTTGATTGCTGGTGCTATCGGGCAGACTATTTTCATGGCAGCCTTCATCGGTCTGCTCTCTCATCCCGGTCCGCAGACGGGCGCTGCAGCTGCGGCCATGCTGTTCTGCTGGATCGCTGTCTTTGGTCCTACATGGGGTCCAGTGACGGTACGGATGAGGATTTATGTCTGCTATATTTCGCACACGCTAACTAGTTGTTCTGTGTAGTACGTCTATGCGTCCGAAATCATGCCTCTTCGCTACCGCCACATCGGATTCGCGCTCAGTGTTTCGTGCCAGTGGCTGATGGCTTTTTTGACCGTCTTCGCTGGTCCGATCGCAATCGCCGATCCCAGTGTCGGTTTCAAAGCCTGGATCTGGTTCCTCGTTTTTAACTTCATCGCTATCCCATTTGGTGAGTAGCTCCCACTTCCATCTATATATGAACGTATTCTGATGATTAAATAGTCTACTTCGCCTGCCCTGAGACACGCGGCCACTCTCTCGAGGGCGTCGACCTCCTGTTCATGAAGGATACTATCCAGGATAAGGAACAGGTGCAGACCCTGCGAGCCGACGAGGCACGTAGCTCTTCCTCGGATGAGGAGAATAGTGCCAATGCGTCCAAGCAGCCTGTCACTACTTCCATTACAACAGATACCCCCACTGAGAAGGCATAAGAAGAAAAAGGCATACCCTTTTGCGTTGCAATTATCCTCCGGATGGGGACTTACCTGCCCTCTTAGCGAACATCGTTCTGAGATGATAAGAACATAGCAATCCTGTCTTATGTAGTTTCCTCATTGATGGTCTGACGGAAGGATGGATGATAGATAAGGCAAGATGTTTCTAATGTTTCTCTAATCGTATTTAGTAATAAGATTTTTTTTTCTACTTTTTTTTTTTTTTTATTTTGACTCTATATATGGCGTCGTCGTTGTTAAACTCTGACGAAGAGGAACCAAGAAAGGCCCGATATGCAACCAGTAGCTTAGCATAACCACGTTGTGGAATCATGTTGCTGTTCATGATCCATAATAGGGGCGCAAATGTCGTAAATCCGACTACCTAATTCCGACAGTTTTGAGATTTCTTTTCCTCGGTTGCAGAGTCTGAGCCCGCGCGAAGACTGATCTCAACTAATATTATGGCGAGGCTTTTCATATAGTTCAATTTACTCGTATCCCACGGACCAAATTCGTGCATGATCATGTATGCCTCCGGGGCAGAGCTGTCTTCCAAAAGGATATTATCATCCCTATATTCGAAAATCACGATATATATTCCGTGTCGGTCTTGGGACATCCGTTTTCAGTTTCAACAATCGAAAAAGGACGTCACCGTATCCTGGAGCTTCCATGGCAATGTTAACAGTTAACAATATCCTTCCTGCCGTGATAAATCAAGGCCAATGTCGACTTAGGGATATTGTTAGTATCTTCAGCCCACCAGCTGTAATAAGATAATAGGATTCCCATAATATATTATTGGAAAGGATACTCATTGCCTTCGCTTTTCAGTAACTCAAGTCAAATTTTTCTCTATAGCCAACACTTCTGCCCTGTATGAACAATAAACAACGTATTTATACTGCATCATTGGGTAAGGTCGCACCGCCTAAGTAGCAATGCAAAAAGGTTTATACAAAGCAGAATGCTCTTTCATCCCTACAAAAACAATGAGATGCCACCTCGGCTTCATCTCTGCAGACAATCCGGAGCCCCCGACACAGCTCAGGACATTTCATGGTCGCTGTCATGGTCCCTCGAGGACCCAGATTGGTAACGCCAGTACGGCGTTCCATGATCGCTCCTGTCGATAATTCGCCGAACTGGCCCCTTAACCGAACATCTGGGTGTCGATTCTGATGCGGCCTGGAGGATCTGACACAGGTGTGTCCAGACTTGGTCGTCTCGACGGTCCCTGGTCTTCTCGACGGTCCCTGGTCTTTTCCCACTGCAGGTCGCACGTCGACCACTGAAGTAAATTAGTTAACAGTACAAGTTAAAAAGTCGAATTGGAAATCTTACCCTCTCGTGGTTATCAATCCGAAGGAAGGTATAATAAAAACCATCTGAACAGCATCCAAAAACGACACTGTTCAAAAGCCCTTCTTTCTTACAGATCTCGCGTACCATGGCTTTAATGCATAATTGGAGAGATTTGATTCGAAGAAGAATAGGAAACCATGGAGAAAAATAGCTTACCTATATAAGTGAGGCACTGTGGAAGTCCCTCTAACTGGGAGTACCGCTTCTTGGCCTCCAATATGACTAAATTGGTACTCATAGTCTGATCCGAGTACTAAATGTTATAATCCGACCAGCCATTCAGACGCCTCTTTTCTCCGCGGAAGTAGATATCAAGTTGCAGGTTATTCTCTACATTCAGTTTGACCAGCGCTTTATCGTCAATCTTTGACCAAGCTCGGGCTTGTTCTCTATCGACGCTCTTAATGATAATCTCGTTGATTCGTAATCGACAGAGAGCCTCAGTCATAGCATTCTCCCCTAATATACGCGAGGGTTTTGCTACCCTTTCATCTATATTTCCTTAGAACCTATAAGAAAGTCCGAAAAAATGAAGCTAGTACAATAGAAAGAGAACATACTTACGAAGACAATCTGGAACAGACTCGATTTTATCAAGTTCCTATATATCCATTCTCGAATCCTTTTGAGAGATTGAAAATCTTTTCAATCTCTGGTACTGTTAGCTGGGGAGTTGCAGGTCCTGTAAACCCTGAGGCAGCCAGGCTGACGTCGGCTTGTTCAGCGGGATCTGGATTGCCTTTGGTAGTTAATTATATCTTGATCTTGATCGTCTCGAGTATGTTCTTGCTGTTGATCTAGTTGACTGTGTCCTAAACCCTAATAGTTTAGAGCATGGTCGAGAGACGTTGTCGTGTAAATTCCAGGCCCAAATTCATTATTGTTGTTGGACGAGGTCATCAGAGATATGAACAAATGCGTGGATAAGAACAAAGCATCTATAGACAGCGCTCGGTGGAGCAGATTACTTAGGCCCTAAAGCGCAAGTAAAAAACCACGCTCAATATCTCGCGCCAGTCGGGCGCTATTCTTGGTCCGGGAGACTCGAGTAGAATAATTAACTTGTAGAGGGATATCGGGAAAAGCTGGTGGCGGAAGTCGACTGCACGACTAGACCAAAAAGGAGAACTCCTTAGAGGTCTGGCTCCTAGGTCTGATAGCTCTCGTAGACTGTAAGACGAAAGAGAACCAGTTGAGTACAATCGATGGTATCTGCCTCAAGGACTCGCGCTCGGCGCTACATCAAAGACGGTCTAGTTCTCCGCGCCAAAGATTGAAGCTCGGGAGAAAAGCAATGGGACTGACGACATTCACTTGTTAGCCATTCACGCAGCTCTTCCAATTCCTCCCCGCCTCGATGGCTGGAACTAAAAGATCCAGAGACGGCCAGGTCATCAGCCACGAAACAAAATCGATCGCCATGGCAAACAGCAACAAGGTAGAGACTGTCGTCGCAGAACCATCGACCCCGCTGCAGTCGATATTCGAGAACTTTCGCAACGAGCTGGATGAGCATCATGATAGACGCGAGAGGGTCATAAAAACGTCGCGGGATATTACTGCGTTGAGTAAGAAGATGTATGTTATGTTCTTTCTATCTGGTGTATTGAAGTCATGCTAATGTTTTCCCATGCAGTATCTTTTCCCTCCAGAGGTTAGTAGAGCTATATCCATGGCATCCGGGATAGTTCACTGTAGCTTGTCTATGGACACCGGAGCAAGACTGACTTTCCTCCTGCAGACTTCGCAGCATAAACGCCCCCATCCCTCCATCCATCGCTAAAGAAAACAAGACCCGCTTCGACCAGATCATCGAACTCTTCCGTACCATCGTGCCCGACGTGTCCGGGATAAACGCCTGGCGATACCAGCGACAGATCAGCGGCGGAATTCAGGAATTCATCGAAGCTGTATCCTTCCAGCACTATGTGCAGACGGAGACGCTGATCTCACGAGATGAAGTGGCCGCCCAGCTCCCGTCGGAAATCTTGGTCACAGAAGAAGATTACCTGATGGGGTTATTTGACCTAACAGGAGAGATCATGCGGTTTGCAGTCACGACCTTGTCAACTGGAGGCGTGCAGAAGCAACAGAAACAAAAACCAACTTCCGACGCCGACCAACCCATATCAAATGTGGATGGCGCAGCTGAGTCCAAATCCTCTGAGGAAAGCCGATCCACAACTACAACCACGGTAACAACCACTCAAGAAATCCCAATCCTCCCCGCCCAGCAGGCCAATATCGTCGTCGACCTACGCGAGATCCGCTCGCTGTTCGAATCGCTCAACGTGCCGCGTCGGCACAACATGCTGCGCGACATGTACAAGAAAGTGGAAGTGATGCAGAACAGCGTGGAGAAAGTCGAGCGCGCTGCCTATGGAATCCTCGTACGTGGCAGCGAGAAGCCTAAGGGATGGGTGCCTGATCTGTCAGGCGGTGCGACTGAGGTGGAGAGTTTCTAGAATGGATTATTTTGAAACGGAATGCTCGTATTCCTGTCGAGTGGATATTATGCTAGTATTTTTTCAGGGAGTATGGATGACATGATTATGGATGATTTCACAACCAAAAGGTAGGAGGGCTCATTAATGAATGATGGCGGCAAGGGAAAGTGAGGGAGTGATGAAAATGAACGCCAGGATTGAAACTCAAATTCTGCCGTATACTGTTACCAATGCCATTGAAGGAATAATGAACATGACAGCCGCCTCAATACTGAGTTTGAATGAGCGGAATAATACTCGTATTCCAGAATCGAATGCCGTACAAGGATAGTATCAAACGAGAGACAAATCCTGCCAATCTGCCCTACCTATACGTATACAGCGACTCGTAACTGCTGTCGGTTATAGCATAGCAGCACAGGGGAGGAACAATAGCCAACTTCCAGGAAGGGGAAAAGAAAAAGGGCACAGAAGACAGCAGACGGAAGACTCAAGACTTCTGTAAAACACCATTATACCCCTGCAAACGCCCGCTCTATACTATCAGATTTCATCCACGTTCTATTTGGGATGATTGCCCAGCTTTTGCGGAGATACAGTTACTCCTTTGGGCTTCTTGGGTCGTCGCTCTCGTCCAGGATGCCCTGCTCGATCAGCTGCTGCGGCTGTGGGCGATTCTGGATCTTGTGCTCGAGGTTGTCTGCCAGCATGTTGCGTTCCAGTTCGCGGGCGTGGGCCTGCAGTGCGGGGGCCGTATTGGTAGCGGGGAGGATGTTGCCTACAAAGGAAAACGTGAAGATTAGTATCTGCGTTATTGTATTGATAACAGTAGTACAAAGCAAAGAACAAAGTCAATAATCACAAAGGAATCAACAGAATGTGGAATCAACATACGCTCGATCAATTCCTCCCTCTCCGGACGACGCTCCAGCTGCTTCTTGAGACTATCGGACCTGCGCTGGCGGGCAAATTCCTGTTGGACGGCCTGGATGGATCTAATTGATCGCGCCGCGGGTCAGCAAAAGAACCAAGTGACTCGCTATGTTGTTGCAAGTGTCCAAGTACCGGATCCGATGTAAGCCGGACCAAGCGGGGGTGGAGAGCACAGTACTTACGGGGCAACGCTGGTGTCCAGCAGGATATGGCGTTCCTTCAGATCCTGCTGGTCCGGACGAGATTGCAGGTGTTTTTCGAGGGAGTTTCTGCGCTCGAGAGGGGCCGCGCAGATGGAGGTTTCGTCAACGTTGGGGTGGACCATTGTGGCGGTCTGGCGGGGAGAAGTATAGTATACGATAAGATAGAGTGAGGAGAGGCCGTTGTCTGGTATTATTGACGGATAGAATAGATGGGAGCTACAGTTCTCCCAGCAAGTGAGTGGAATAATCAGCGGCTAATATAGACAGCCACGACGAAACAGGCGTCTCCTGATGGCTTGATCAACTAAACATGAAACGGAGAGGAAATGAGTTTGCGGGGATCAAGTGATTCCAAGTGATGCGCGCGACTCTGTTGATGAGCGGGTCAGGGCGGGGCAACAGCCGCATGCGGTCACGGCATCATGACTTTATACTTCAGACGACCACATCACTGCTACTGTTGCTCTCTACAGATGCTATAACGCATAGTAAAAGACCGCCAACTAAGAAGAATCTAATGAGCGTGTATTCAATAATGAGCTGTCGCCTATGCGCAGACAAGTACTGGACGTAGTGGACATGCCATCAACTGCCTAAATAAACCAATGTCTCACCATCCACCCCCACACCGCAACTGAACAATCTGTGAATATGACCCGTGGGTGCCAACACGCCTCACCATGGGGTTTTGCTTTTTATCGGATTTGCAACTGCAACATTATATGTCTGTTGAAAGCGAGATGTAGCATCAGAACAACTCACCCGGCCGAGAACCAGCAAAGGAGCCCGCCAGACAACGCCCAGTGACACCGAGCAAAGTGTCGATGCCCACGTGCCAACCAGACAAGAGAGAAAAAGGGACAGTCCTGCGCCATATGCAGAGGGCGACCACTGTGACCGGCCTGAAAACACCCGTTGGTTTCTTCTCTAGATCCATGCTATCCTGGCAGCGTAAAACAACAGAGCATTTCCGCTGGCGAGAAATCAGGATAGGACCAACGCGATATCTTGCCATGTCTGTGCTGTCATCCCATATCCGTGCGCCCGTCTTCTCGACCGTTGGGATCTATCATCGTGTCAGGTTTTGCGTCAGTCCGACCGTGCTGAAATCCAAAGGTGAAGCGGGCTCGGTTTTCATGCGACCATGTTGGAAGTGATAGAAATTCAATTTCCCGTCCGTTGACTTGGTATCAACGGATTCCCTCCCTGAAATCAAGGAACCCACAGCTTTCCACGGCCACGGCTGCTGCCTCGCGTCTGACCCCGGGGGGCACCACGACGGCCGTTGGCAATGCGACGGGATGCTCCGGCCAGGCCGCGCGCAGCTCCAGCCTGCGAACTGAGGTCAACGGCAGGCTGCTTGGTGCTGGGCCCGAGTGACCGGCTGAAGGAGTTCGGGTCCATGGGTTCAGAGGGGATCTCGATGGTTGCCTCAAGCGGAGGGGGAACTGCCTTTGGCGCAGAAGGCTTGCGGCTGTTATTGCTCGCCCGCGAGCTTCCACCCCTGCTCGCTCCCTTGCCGCGACCACGGGGAACGAAAACGAGCTCGTCCTCGTCACTTTCGTTCTCGTACGACAGCAGCGTCTTCGGCTCCGTTGCCTGGGTTTTCTCCACGTACTTGCAGCGGTTCTTGTATTCTTTCTCCTCATACTGAATGGCGGTCCGGAGCTGGTGGATGTTCTTTGTGGCTATTCCGAACTTCTGCGCCCATGCCTGCGTAATGCGATCATTGGTAACTAGGATCAAGCTCCTAGACGCAGTGACAGCATCAGGGCTGTCATGCAAACGCCACAACAAGGCACTGAGAAGGGGTCGCAGCGCGAGAGGCACCGTAGAGCCGGTACCGTTGGAATCGGAACGCCTATGACCATTGTGCTTCGTAGACCCATCCACCCCATTGTGACCATTGCCGTACTCAGGACTAGTGCGCGAGCTTCGAGACGAAGATCGAGAGTCGCTGTGGGTACCAGTAGAAGTGATCGAGACGGCATCCGGTTCCTTCTTGAAGTTGAGCTTGCTGAGCAGCATTTGCGAGAGATCATTGCTGGGGATGTTGTCTTCGACTTTTTTCGTCTTTGGTGCTCTCTCCGGATCTTCTTGGGTTTCGATGACATTCTCGACCTCTTCCGCAGTCCCTTCCACATCGTCCTCAAATTCTGGCAACAGGAATTTTTCCGCTTCCGCCCAAGTCTCATACTGTTCCATCGGTCCCTGCAGGACAACCTTGTCTGCGGTAATGCTATCTTTGCCGGACGTAACACGATCGAGGAAACGGACAGCCTCGCGCGCATTGATCGCAACTTGAGATCCAGCTCTCTTCAGCGCATGCAAACGTTCCAGAGCTGTAGTTTGAAGTTCCTGTCAGTAATCAGGTGACGCCGCACCAGACAAGCAGTCAACCTACTGTAGAGAGGGACGACGAGAGTGATCGCTCCATTAGAAGTCCATTTCTTGATTTCACTAATATTGGTAGTCAACGCCGTGTCATCGACGGCGCAGTGGAAGACCTTGCGGCCAGTCGCCATTGCGGCAGTGAGACGTTTTGACGGGCGGCAAGATCTTGATGTAAAAGAGCGCGGATTGCAGGAACCTGCACTATAAAGTAGAATCCGTGAAACTGACAGCTGAAACTGCATCCAGCAGATCCGTCAGCAGATGCCAACCAACAAGAAACTGGTCGAAGCAGGCGGAGATGGGAATGTGGGGGTTGTTGCTCAGCGGCGGAGAATGATGGAGAAGAGTCGGGGAAGACGAAAGGCGGGCTGCGGGTTACTCACGGTCGAAGATGTGTTCGCACAGAGTCTCGGTTTTCAGCATCTTCATATGCCTCCAAGTCAGCCACCCAATAGAGCTGTGAATGAACAATGGCGGGTGTCGTGAATGCGCTCCGTTGCGGAGGATGACGAGAAGTCGAATCGAATGGCCGATCGACTCCGCGGGACGAAGCGAAGCCGGCGGGCAGTTCTGACTAAGCAGCTGGCAAGACGTGGGTCGATCACTTTATTTATTTATTTACTTCCTACAAGGTGCTTTGATAGAGGAAAATTATCCTTTGTCATCTCCTAGGTTTTCTCCTTTTCTCGTCATCGTCCGCGGAAGTTCCATCAATCCTTCGAGTCTTGCCTGTGTCGGAGTTGAGTACTCGCATCCGGAGGGACCTTGCTGGTACTAGGCGCATCAGACGTCTTCTCTTCGTCGAAGATGAGCAGAGTAGATACGTTCAAGGGTAGTATCGGGAAATCGACAAAGAGGGAATCACGCGATTTAAAAGCAACAGTCTCCAATGAAAAAGCATGTCTCCATAACCGCTCCAAACAGCTTGATTATCGCCACCACAAACTACGTTTCCTTCCTGATTAGGCCACTGTCCTCGGGGACGCGTTGTGCCCATTCCCTGTCACAGGTTAGTTGGCCATAACACTAGATCCAGAATATCAGAAATGGCAGTCTATAGGATACGTACGTCCAGCTTCCATCGTAGAGTCGTCTGTCATCTGGGCGACCGTAGTCTGCCTCCTGGAGCGCCGTCTCGATGACCGCAGCCGTCACACCAGTGCCACAGGAGCTGATAATAGGCTTTTTAGGGTCAATGCCTTTGGACTCGAAGACTTTCCGCAGCTCTTCACTTGGCAAGAGAGTCTTGGTCTCTGGGTCGAGAAGCTCCTGGAACGGCAAGCTCTTTGAACCGGGAATATGACCAGACGACAGGCCTGGGCGCGGTTCAGGATCGGTGCCAGCCCATCTGCCGTAGGATCTCGCATCTAGGATCTCGATTTCTCCACCGTTTTCCTTTGCGATCGTCTTCATCTCCGGGAAACGCACGATCATGTTGGTGTCATAGGTCGGAACAGGGTAATTGGTCTTCTCGACTGGCTCCGGCTCTCCCGTCTCGACGGGGAAGCCCTCGCGCACCCACAATCTGTAGTTGTCGAGGATATGCACACTTGGATGTCCGAAGACTCGAAGAGTCCAACCGACGCGTGGGGCACTGAAAAGTCCAAGCTCCTCGGTGTCATAGACGACGATTTCGTCATCGCGGCGGATCCCCAATTCACTCATCGCTGAGGTGAAAGTCTCGCAGGTGGGCAGCATATGGGGGTATGGAGAGTCATGATCCTTGATGGCATCCAGGTCAAAGAAACGGGCGTGTGGGATGCGGTTCTTCCGGAAGACATCAATTCCCTTCCGGCCTTCCGGGTCATTGGGCATAAACCAAGCCGCGCATAGCGGGATGATGCGAGGGGCAGTAGAAATCTTCGAACGGGGGCTTGGATTCTTCTTGAGAGCTTCGTTCAGCTGCTTCGGGGTGACTATATAGGAGGAGAAGGAGACCTGGCGGTGCTGCGGACGCTGCAGCAGCGGTGACTGGAAGGACATGGTACGACGCACCAGCCGACAAGGAGAGGAAGAGAGACGAAGGGCTACCAGAGCCATTGTTCAGGTGGGACAGCGCCTAGGAGAGATTCACATACCGGGGAAACGTCGGGGAGGCCAGAGGTCGGAGTAGGCTCATGAAGCAGCTCCCGATGTCGTATCAGCGGCGGGGAGAAGAGGCCGATCTGAGATATGACGGTGCGGAGAGAAGTGGAGGGACTTCAGGCCGTCCCGACGATAGGCGATACTTAGACTACTACTTAAAATCGTAGAGTAAACAATCCACCGCCTGCCGGATCCACCATCCGTGCACAAATCACCCTGGCACGTCTCTTACTACTTTATATACAACCCTATGTGACAGAATGAAGGTCGCGATCAAGGAGTGGAATGCTGTCGCATCCTGGCGATGGGATATGCCGGAGGACGAGGTGTGCGGTATCTGTCGCGTGCAGTTTGACGGCACCTGTCCGACCTGCAAATTCCCTGGAGATGACTGCTCGCTGCGTATGTCTACTTTCTGTCTGTTTCAATTTCTAATGGACTCAGCTAACCAGAGAATAATAACGGTCTAGTACTGGGGAAATGCGGACACTCGTTTCATATGGTGCGATTGTGGAGCTGGATATCCTAATTCCGAACTGTCTTGGTTACTGACAGAATTTTCGCTTGCAACAGCATTGTCTTCTAACGTGGATTCAGCAAGAGTCCTCGAAAGGGCTATGCCCTATGTGTAGGCAGAGTAAGTGTCCCTGCGCCATAGCCTTGGATGGCGATTGACAATATGTTTCTATCTAGAGTTCGAATGGAAGCAGAGCGAGGAATGATGCACGTGACTTTGACCGGAGTCTCAAGTGCTGCAGGCAGCCTTGTATCGTTCTACAGCATCTCTAATCATTCACTTTGTATTATCGGGAAGCAAGCATCTGCTTTTTGTTGAATACGATATCACGATGTCCTGATGGACAGTATGTCAATAGTGCGACAGTCACAAAGGATGCCTTCGATGATGTCCAAATGCTTTTGTTCAGGAGAGCCACCCCAGTCCCAGCTTTCTACCGTCCACACGGCCTCCTCAACTCTCTTCTAAAAATCATCCTCGCTTTCATCCTCGTCCTCATGGTTCTCCGGGTCATGAACAGCAAAAGCGCTTATAAAGCTCACTCTCCACTTGCTTATACCGCCAGTCAGATGTTTGAGCAGATGACACATCGAAGATGGCATAGTTAAAATTAGGGTGTTGAATCATCAAGGTGCTTTGGTCCCGGTCGGAGCTAACTGTGCTCTGCGTTGTATCTTCTAGTATAAGGCAAGCCAACGAGTGAGAATACATATGTATCGTAAGCAGAGAACCTGGGAAATAAGACTTTTGTTCATAAACCCCGTGTATGAGTGCCTTTATGTCGTGATCTCTCCTTTTACTCCCGCTGGGAGTTCAGAAAGAGCTACCAGGGGATAGCCGTGACCCAAGACTGTTCGAGATGCAAGCGATGACTGGCAGTCAGGGACGATCCACTCAACAGCCTAGTCAATGAACCAGGGCATCAATTTTAAAGTTGAACAGCGGACCTCAAACATCACCAAATTTATCGCCGGAAAACAAAAGCGGTGCATCAGTTGTTCTCCGTATTCAACAATTTTGATAATTCCTATCCTGAAGACTCTTTGCAGCCTCTGCTATAAGTTCTGGATCTGGTTTATAAGACCTTGGAGGCATGAGAGACGTCATTGAGCTGGACGAATTCTGTTAAGATCTCGTCTGTTCGATTGTAGAATATCTACCTGAATCTCGAGAGCAGGTGAGTTTCATAATTCATTGTGTGTGGGATGGGATCGATGTAACTGTTATTCTTTCCTATTGTAGCAAGTCGACGCGTCTCTTGCGGAACCACAGATAAGAGATCAGGCTCACATACATTCCCAATAGGATTATCTGCGAACGTCCTACGAAAACGTCTCTCATCTTTTGCATGTTCTGTCGAGGGAATCCCGGAACAGCGCCCCTTCTGGGAACTATGACCGAGGAGTACAGAGTTTTCTTTGCATTACCGTCACAGCCAAGCAATGTGGCTTATCTGACAATAGGTCAGCTGCCACCTGGATTATATATATGATGCTTTAATTGTCAGCAACTATGCGGTCTATTGGTGATTCAGTGACGGATCCGCGTCTTTCCGGATGCCGAAAGGTCGGTCCGGATGTATGTAGGTATATATATATTCGCCACCCATGTTCTAGCTCGTAAGACCTCAACCATGGGTTCTTCTGCCCCTTCTCCGCGTCCCATGACAGCTGGGCTGGAGAGAGATCATGGGGATTCGAAGATGCGAGATCGTGCTGAGAGATGATGTCAGCAATGGTGCTAGCTTGTTGGTCCATTTGTGGGGTATTATGCGGCTTACCATGTCTCTCATGGGGAAGACAAGAAGAATATAAGCCCCAGAAAGCCAACTGAACTTTGAGTAGAAGAATAGTATCTTGACTTGCTGAGGAGTATCCGTCATATAATCTGAACCAATCATGAAGAACCCGAATATCTTGACCGTTTATTTCGATGACAAGCGCCCGGAGTCCGAGAAACAGGGACATGGAGTAGATGTACAAGGACCGATTGATTACTCGCCGTTACCACGTGTCACGGCAAGGACTTTTTGGATGGGAGTGCTAGTTTCCATGGGGGGACTCATGTAAGCATAGAAAAACATCGATTCAGACGCTCAGGCATGTAAAGATAGCTGACTGACGATTGTCCTATGCAGCTTTGGATATGATACTGGTCAGATATCCGGGTTTCTCGAAATGCCTGATTTCCTAGATCGCTTTGGCCAGCGTAACTCGCAGGGAGTAGCATATTTCAGCACTGTCCGATCTGGACTGATCGTCGCCTTACTATCCATCGGAACCCTCATCGGCGCTCTTGTCGCTGCCCCCGTAGCAGATAGGATTGGTCGAAAACATTCCATTTCATTTTGGTCAGTCATCGTCTCTGTGGGATTTATAGTCCAGATCGCTTCTGTCACTGCATGGTACCAGATGATGATCGGACGTTTCATCGCTGGACTGGGTGTTGGCGCCCTGAGTCTACTGGTCCCTATGTATCAAAGTGAAAGCGCTCCGCCATGGGTTCGAGGAGCGCTTGTTTCCACGTATCAGGTGGGTGTCTACATCCATTCGACTCGCATATAAAGAATGAACCGCTGTACTCACATAATCAACCAGCTCTTCATTACCATGGGCATCTTCTTAGCAGCCTGTTTCAACTATGGAACTGTGGAGCACCAAGCTGGCAATTCTGGTTCATGGAGGATTGTCATCGGTTTGGGATGGCTCTGGGCAGGTATCCTTGGCTTCGGTATACAGGCATTTCCCGAGACCCCAAGATACGATTATAGGCACGGCCACGTCCAGCGAGCAACACGGACGCTCTGCAAAATCTACGGCGCGTCAGAGAATCACTGGAGCATTCAAGTACAGCTGGAAGAGATTGAGACTAAGTTTAAAGCTGAGAGCCAGCTTAAAGTCGGGCCGGTGCAGGACTTTATCAACATGCTACGTGCACCACGCATGGCTTATAGAATCGCGCTTGGAATCGGTCTGCAAGCTCTCCAGCAGCTTACAGGAGCGAATTATTTCTTCTACTATGGGACCACGATATTCAAATCTGTGGATATCAACTCCTATGTGACTCAGATCATTCTAAACACCATAAATTTCGGTGTGACTTTCATCGGGCTCTATCTGGTTGAACACTACGGTCGTCGCAAATCTCTGATCGCAGGGTCCATTTGGATGTTTGTTTGCTTCTTAATCTTTGCTTCAGTGGGTCATTTTTCCCTGGATCGAAACAATCCGCAGAATACTCGTGGTGCAGGCATTGCCCTGATCGTCTTTGCGTGCTTCTTCATCCTTGGATTTGCAACCACGTGGGGGCCCATGATCTGGACGATTATGTCCGAGATATATCCGTCCAGATATCGTGCTAAGGCCATGTCTCTTGCTACCGCGAGCAATTGGACATGGAATTTCCTCATAGCCTTCTTCACCCCGTTCATCACCAAGTCGATCGATTTCCGCTACGGTTACGTTTTTGCCGGATGCAATGTCCTCGCCGCAGCTGTGGTATACTTTTTCGTCATAGAAGGACAGGGTAAAACGCTCGAGGAAATCGACACAATGTACCTCGAGGGCGTCCCTGCGTGGAAGAGCTCCAAGTGGATTCCGCCACCACAGGCTGAAATGGCACATATTAGACAGAGGGCTGGTACTGAACTAACGCCAGATGATCATAGCAAAGATCGTGCGGTCCATAATGGTGAAGAGGCCAATCCTCAGATATCGCATCATGAGGCAGTCTGATGATGGTCCGGGTAGATTTCTGACGTTGACTACAGGGTGAATAGGAGGAAATTCAATTGAGATCTTCGTGACCATGAGCTTACCATGCACCGTCGTTGATGGCAAACATACTTCCGCTGGCTTCGTATCGGAACTCGGGCATTGGAGTAATGCTGGTTTCAAGTGAAATTAACGTAGTACACTAGGTACTTAGCATATTTGGTAGAATGGACCAATGCAAACAGCCAATCCCGACCACATCTGGCATGTAGCAATGTTATTGAATGATCTGATCCTCTAAATCAGGTAGAGAGGAGATTTACATTTGCGCTAAGTAGACGCAGATCGCTATCTAGTGCGAAATACGGTCTGGAAGAGCTTGAATAGATGCCCTCATTCTCTCCTATAAGGACGCAGAATATAATAGCATCACCATAAACAAGATAGAGCAAATACTGACCTGCCAAAGTACCACTTCTAACCGTTGAACGCCAATCTTGATCTATCAGATTCCTAAGTCGATCCCTAAATCACTCGGACGGAAGGGCAGCCGGTGTCGCATTTAAGTTAAGGTAAGACGGCGTCTCCATCCGCCAGAAGCTCCCACTAGACTAACTAGTTAGTTCAATAAGTGAACCGACTTAACTACCTTACTTACCTACTACTAACTCACTGACTGACTGACCTGACCATTAACCTCCAGCTGCTATGACCTCGTTGCCAGCAGTGAAGAGCTTCTTCTCCTACTGACTACCACTTCCCGCCATGTAGCCCTGTCTACGCTGCTCCGGATAAGAATGTCTCTACCCAAACAGACCGTTCCGCATCTGTCGGCATCGTCATCCAAGCAATCTCTCCGCGCATCCAACAACACAGTGCCTCGATCGCGCACGGGCGCTGTAGAGCCACACGCGACCTCTTCTACTCCATCTGAGTCCGGTCCAGCTGGTGAGCTTCAGCTTCAGCACCAGCACCAGCACCAGCATCACGGGGACGGCGTGAGCTCCGAGGAGAGACGACACAGTTTCGCATCCTCCCAACAGCCACAGTTCCGGCCGTTCTTCACTCTCGTCGAAGACACCAACGCCTCTGAACATTACCATCCTACAGTACATTACATCTTCTCAGACGATGATACGGACATCGTTACGGAGGCGGCGCTGCGCTCGCTAGAGGCAGATCATGGCATCGTCCCACCGGTGACGACAGGACAGGAGGTCGGCACAACGTACGAAGGAGACCCCGAGCTCGAGGACAGTCGGCAGTCGGATGTCAGAAAAACGTCCTCCCTGCCACCGCCCATACCGGGCGTCAGGGAGCACTATATCATCTTGGACATGGAGCCGACGAACCCAGAGCAGCTACAGAATCCGGATCCCGCCACTGGAGGCGGACCACCATCGCTGTCGACCTCACCAGCTGCACCGCAGCAGCAGCAGCCTCCGCCTCAATTCACAGTCACATCCGCCCAGAGCCTTACGCCCGCCTGGCAGGTGTTGAAAACGCATCTGACGCCTGCCCCCACGTTCGACACCACCACATCACCGGGCGACCAGCAGCAACAGCCCGGGTTGTCCAGCGGTGTCATGCTGAAGATCGAGGGCACATCCGGACAGCCGCGGGAACCGATCCTGCGGGATCGAGATAGCAAGGATGGCGGGCAAACACTCGAGGAGATGATGGAGCAGTTTGAAAAGCGCATGGGCGAGTTGCGGCTCGTCATCGAGGCAGGTGGCGGATTGCCAGCCCACGAAGGCCGCGGCATACAAGAAACAGAGGCAGAGGGCGAAGAAAATACAGAGCAGGAACCGCCTGGTCAAGCTAGCCCGGATCCAGCCCAGCAGAGCGAAGAACAGGAGACAGATCGACCCCAATAGACCGATTTGTTCGAGCTACTCTATAGGATAGATTTACGGTGTATTCTACATATTGTATGACGGCATGGAACTTGACCTCTCCTCCACATCTAAAGAGGTGAGCGAGGCTTAACTGGGTCATTCATTCGTATAAACATTACGTTCTCCTCTCTCTGCATATTCCTGGGTTGAGAAACAAACTACGTTATTGACGAGACATGATCACTCTCGTCCTCGATTCGACCAGTAGTACATCTTTATGAGCCGCCCGTATATAAAGGAACAAGGCTTAGGATAATGAATTAAGACCGACTGGGCCAGTAGCTGTACAACCCAATCCAGCAAGCGATATAAACAAGGCCATTCTATACCAGAAATACAAAACTCCGTTCGCCGAATGGCCCAACAAAAGAAAAGATCCCGACGGCCCGTGACTTGTTCCCTAAAATAAGAATTGCAAATGAAGTGCCGGGGCATTGAAACCCCAAAAACAACCAGTAGGGGTATCGTCTTATCCAAACCAAAGCCAAACTCCAATCCAAAACTAAAAGCACTGTAGCTCAAGTCGAAGGCCGGCTTCTCAGCCGCCGCCCATTATACTCTCCGGTCGAGATGGGGATGTTCTCCCTTCCTTCCATCATACCCGCTAACTTTTTAGCTGTGATCTTCTGCGGGAGATTACTTTTTGCAATAGCTGACGAGGAAGCATGTCTTTTCAATGGTGGAGCCATGTCGTCCTCCTCGGAGATCAGGTCCTTTTCCATGATGGTGGCAGAAACATGTGATGTCGTGACAGCGTCAGAGTCGGCACTACAAACGAGTGGTTTCGCGGCGACGTTTATATCGACTTCCCTAAGTCCCGTGTTGGATGGTGTGCCTGCAGTGGTTGGAGGTGGGAGAGACCCTACCTCGTCCTCTAGGTCATTATAAACAAGGGTTTTCGATGGAGAACCTAGCAATGGGCCACCCAACGGTGCCACCGCATCCTCCTCGCTTTCCAGTGGTGAGAGCAAGGGTTGTTGCTGTTTCAGAGGAGACTGCTGTTTTTTCGTAGGAGAGACAGATGATTGATACGATTTCCGCCGTCTCGCCAGGAGCGCCTCGTGCGACTCTGTGCGCGGGAGCTTCGACGGGTACTCGTAATGCGATTTTTGCGGTGTCTCCCCAGTAACGGTGTATTCAGCCATCGGAGCATTCTGAATATTCGTTCGGAGCTCCGCGAGGGGCTTGCGTACTCCATCAGATAATGGAACTGCAGACTCCTCTACAGTGTTCTTCTGCCGGTTGATGTCTTCCTGGAATCCACGGGCTCGGTCACCAAAGCCTGTGAAATGCTCACGCAGGCTGGAGTATGACTCGCGGACGTTTGCAGACAGGCTGTCCAGGTTCTCCAGATGCATTTCGTGGTACCGGCCGTTCTGGGATCGAGCCTTGGTCACGAAATCGTCCAAGGCCTCCATTTGTATAGCAACATCATTCATTTGGGCATCTACTATACGGACAGTCTCTTGATGGACCGACTCCGTTGCCTTCTGGATGGAAGCATTGCGTTCATCGAACATCTAACAATGTCAGCCTTGATCGGACTAACAAGGGCAGTTGTCTTACCGTCCAATCACTTTTCATCTTATTCTTCAGATCGTCCCTTGTAGCAGTTATTTCATCGACAAACTTATCTTCCTTGAGAGCCCATTTGTCCATGCTTTCTCCATATGCATTGCCAGCTTGTTCCAGAGTCTGGTCGGAGGATGCCATGTCTGCTCGTATATTGTTGACCTTGCTCCTCAGGCGAGCTGCCTGCTTCTGTGCAGATTTCTCTATCAGAAGTTCAATCTGAGAGAGCAATTCAGCACGCTCAGCCTCTGCACCTTCACGCTCCTCGTCCAACGCCTGCCCCAGCTGCGATGACGCTGTCTGGTTGGCTAAGACCGCTCGACGGTTTGCTTCCTGCAGCTGAGAGCGCAGTCCCATGACTTCAGACTTCTGGGATTCAAGGTGCATAAGCATGTTCTCAAACATCGACTTGAACTCCCTGCCGAGGTCGCTGTACGATGCATGGAGCTACATAGATCAGTACGTCTCTCACTTGATAATCGACGTCAAACTTACCTGCGTGTGGAAGTCTGTCAACTCATCGATGACCTCCTTGGAGATGCGAGCCGCTGCGGCCGACAATCCATTCAGCCCTTCACCAACCCTGGTTTTGACATTCTCCCGAAGCACTTTGATCTCTTCGAGGATGTCGTTCATCTCATCGTGGGCGTTGGATGTCTGCGCCTTTGCCTCCGATTCCGCCTCATCAAAAAGTGACGTAAAGTCGCTCAGTTGCGATTGACTCAACTCCACGTTGTTAATCTCGGACTGCACGAATCGGGTAATCTTGGACGAGAAAGCTGACAATAGCTGCGAATGCTGCTGTTGAAACTGCTCCACTCGGCTATCTACCAGGCTTGTCACATCCACTACCTCCGAGGTTGATGCCTGCCATGTCTCGCGGTTCAGAGCGTGCAGATCCGATTTTCGCCGGAGTTTCAAGCGCAGTCCGTTCATGTCTCCCACCGTTCTGTCCAAGGTGGAAACAAGGTCGGTGCCAATGTTATGCAGTTTCTCCTCGGTCTCCTGGTGTGCTTTGCGCAGCATTTCTTCTTCGTCCAGCATCCGCCGGGTGTCCTCAAGGACAATCTCCGTCTGCTTTAGCAGATCATTAGTTCCTTCAAGCGCGGCTCGAGTTTCTTCATTGTCTTTCCTCAGATTGTTGAAATTGCTGGTCAAGGCGAATATTTCCTGCAGCTTATTCTTCAGATTCGCTTCCATCATCTCGATTTTCACTCGTTGCTCCTCGTTCACAATCCGTCGCGACTCGCTCTCGACTGTCATCTCCTCGTATGCTTCCGTCGACAGGTACACCCCGTTTCTGTGCCTTGTCGCAATCAGATCGCTTTTCAGCTTTTCGATCTCGTATGTGTATTCGCGCAGGAGTGTCTTTTTGGACATGGCCAAATTGATCTGCGGCCTATTGCGGATGTTCTTTGCGCGGAATGCATAATCCAGGGTAGATATGGTCTCCTCGAGGTTGCTCCTAGAATTCGAAATGGTAGCGATTATGCACGTCTTAGTTTGTCCTCCCAAAGAATCTTGCAGTAGCCGCGTGAGCTTGGACTCTCTGGTATTCGTTAGTGAATCGGTCTGGGACAGAAGGGAAGCAAACCAACCTGTAGGGAATATGGGAACTCTTGTCGACCAGTGCGTTGATGACCCGACCCAAAGTGAGCAAGCTCTTGTTGATCAGACCAGCTTCCACCGCTCGTTTGTTTTCAGCGCCACTGCGGCCAATATTCTCGCTTCCTGCCAGGTCCACCAAGTTCAACTTTGCCGAACCAATATTCTCTTCCCCTGACTCGGATACGCGTTTTGTGAAAACTGTAATGGTAAACACGGTGTGACTGCGCGAACTGAGATCGTTGCACTTTGTGGCCGCGACCTGGCGGCGGTGACTGCCGCGCTGCAACAGCTTGATACCTGCATGTGCCGAATCGATGTATGTCTCCTCCATGCCCTGCACCATTGTGCTTCCGCTATGGCCCTTCTTGCCCTCGTTTTCAAAAATTTTGAGTTTTGAGTTGTCTTCCGCGGAGAGCAAATCCCTCAGTTCTTCGTTGTACAGCTCAATGAACGAGCATTTCACGGTACTGTCTGTCTCCTCTAATTTTCGGAAAAGCGCGTACAACACTCGAGGGATGATACCTGCGTTATCAGACAGAAGCCCTAGCGTGTCAGTCATATCTCCTGACATCGTATACGTCTTGCCAGTGCCCGTCTGGCCATACGCGAATATCGTGCAGTTATAGCCGGAGAGCATCTTGGAAAGCTGTCAGTGAAAATCACGCTTATAGCTAGCGCTCATGATCAACATACCTCATTCAATATAGGGGCCACAACATCCTCAAAGATGATCGCTTGGTCTGCAGCGGGCGAGAAAACTCTATCAAAATGGTACGTTTTGTTGCTGACCGCGTTCGGCCCCATGGACAACTCAACGTTCGATCCTTTGACGCCTTCAGTGGCCACCGCTACCCCACTGTTCTCCTTCACCTCCCGTTCAGTCCTTCCACGACAACGGACGACGACATGGATGTTGGTTTCCGCGCCCGCTTCTGGATCGAAGTCTCTCTCTTTGCGCTTGGTTCCAGCCGTCGATAGCGTGCTTGGAGTATTCTGACCGCTCCTCATTGATGTGACAGACTTCACTGCCGGCGATTGCGACCGCTCTGATGCTGTAGAGGCCAGTCGCCGTGTTGTAGGGGGGCGCAGGCCGGTTTTCCTCGTCGCCAGCCCGGAGGCAGGCCGTTGCGGGCCAGCCATGGTGCGATGGCAAGTGGTGTGTGATTATGATGATAAGCTGTATCAGGAATGAATATATGTCGACTGTAAGCCCCAGATAGATCTATGAAGAAGTAGTCTCTGTAACGTGGGGCGCCCAGATGAGGAGCTGTGGTCAATACCGTCAAGTGTGCTTTCTCCAAGTTGTTTGGGCGGCTCAAGAGGGAAAACGTAAACAAAGCGCGCACGTGCCACGCATAACCCCGAGCTCTTTCTCCGCCTGTCACGCCCGCCGTTCACATGACCGATGACCGTATCTCATGCTGACCAGCTTCACCTCAACCTCGCGTCGAGGAACAGGACTTTTACGGCTCTTGGGCCGTATTTCTCTTCTTCCATCGTGATATATTCCATTTGTCGAATCAGTGCTTATTTCCCTGTTGTCTCTGCGGAGATCCCAGATCCGTTACTGTCAGGCATGATAAGATAACGTCGGTACCATGACGACTTCTCGAGCTTCAGCAGCTCAGATCCATCCCGGCAAGGGCCTTGGGTTCTTGAGTGCGTTCTCATAAACTATGTTATACGCGTATTGAAACTATAACTGACTCTTTTTTTTTGGCGGAACAGCCCTTGGAATGTCGCTTCACAATGTACTCACCCGTCTCAAAGCCCATCCCCAGACCTACCCCGCCATCGACGTTGCATACTCCGCAGGAGAGCCATTATATCAGCCTGTGATTCTAAGACTACCATCCAACGGTCTCCGCCTTCGATTCGATGGTCCAGATCAGAGGCTTCGCCTGATCGAGGTGCTGGACTTCTCCAAGATCCTGCTCGTGTATAAGAATCAGGAGGTTGTAAAGGGCCTGAAGCCACAGGAACAGGCTGGCTCCCTGCCAGGACCGAGCTTTCGTCATGTCTACAATAGACTCTTTGGCCCATCGTACCCTGGGGAATATGTCCCGCCTGCTTCACGTACACCTTATGGAACATATGTTCTATCATACCCGGGCGTGGCATTTTCATTCCCGCTTCAGGACTCAGCGTGGTCGGATCAATGTGACTTCGTGGCCCTGATGTCTTCATCTGCCGCTTCACCTGCGACCTCTATGGCCATCTTTCAAGGTCCGTCCTGGCCAGATGCACGTTCCACCTTGTTTACAAAACCACCACAGTATCCCCGCTCGCCAGCATTGGTCAGTAAGAACAGGGAGTCGGTTCCAGACGAGATCGAAGAAATTAAAATATACGGAGCTGGTAAGATTGAGTTGACTCGACGAGGCGGCCCGTCCTTCTGGATTACCCTGTCGGAAACTACGCCACAGGACCTGGTCGCCGAGCTTGGTCCTCCAGACGCCATCTATCGTAAAAATGACCGAAGGATATCTATTCATGGAGCCGCTGCTGGTGTAACCGCGCGCCATATGAGTCCATCCCCAGGTCGGGGCACCGATGCAATTGACACAGACCAGTCGTCTAGTAACAGCGTGACGGATGATTCCGATGACGAGATCACCCCCGCTGCAGCTTCTGATCCCTCTTCTCTTCCAACAGAATGCTTCTTTAATTACTTCCACCATGGCTTTGATGCATTTATCTCTTATCCCTCTACTCCTGGACCTGCCTTCCCCGGCTCGGATCTGCCAGACCCATCACCCCCCACGTCAAACTCCCACTTGACAGTGACGAAGCTCTTGGTCCATGGTAACGTTCCAGGGTCATACCCGTTCAACCGCCATCGACGGAGTCGCTGGACGATACATCTGGACTCCTCGGGTGATGACTTGATGTCTGAAACTCCATACGATGAGGTGTCCGGACGGCTCAAAGAACTGTGGAGAGGCTCTTACTCCAACCCGGCTGAGGAAAGGGCTCTTCAGCGGGGAATGGTGCTGAACCGGGGCTGGGGTGACAGTCCAGAAAGCAGTGTCGAGTTCCTAGGTGGCTGGGAGGAGAGTACAGGAGGTAGACAGCGAGCCGTTTCAGCTGGTCCTGAGAGCGGACAAGGGTTGGGAAACACGGAGTTATTTGGATTCCCCGGTTTGCTGTTCGAGGTATTGAAGAATGGCGCTGTAAGCTGCCTGACTGTCTATTGAATTGTTTTCATCGGTGTTTTGGTTTCGGGGTGGCGATTTTATGATGGAAATTTCAATATACCGCGGAGGTTATCATGCGTGATCCTCTAGTTGCCATATGCTGAGCTTGTGTGCTACTTTGTCGGTAGCTTTCTTTATATATTAAACCGACTATTCAATCTTCTCCACTCAAGGCTTCGAGATTGCTTAAAACAAATGCGTAGTTGAGAAGATTTTCATCAGAGATGGACGTGTGGCAGATCTCATCCTCATCATCCTGGCCCATTCTGATCGAATCGATGATATGGGGCAAACATCAATCCAAGGATGGTGTATTACGTGCCTTTGCAAAGCCGTAGGCCGAAGACTTGGTAGTGGGTTCAAACCAGGACTCTCAGCTAGAGGGTATTAAATGGGGAACTAGTATCCATTGTCAAACCCAGATGAACGGCGTCTGATACCATGGCTCGTGCAATGTTAAAAATTGCGGTGCTGGAGCCAGAAGCTCACTGTCAAATGGGCGCTCAGCCATACTACCAAATGTCCTACAGTCGTTGGAGTAAATCATTTTCTCGTAAGGTTGCAGCTCTGAGAGACGACAGCACCAAATCTTTTTGTCTTAGGATCTATGGCCGAGGCATAAATTCCAGGCGAAGCCTTCCTGTCCGCGTTGACATAGACGATCTATCTGGAGACAAGGCTCTGGCCTGGGTTCCGACTTCTCTGGTGCTCGAGTTTTCGTCGACCTTTGTATATACGCATCAGTCAATGAGTTGAATAGAGTATCTATAAAGGAGGAAGCCCTTATGACTAGCGCCTCGATTAAGGCGATTCTGTAGCTTCCTTCGATTTGCCAAACCTGACAAGCCCGTCCAATCTTCATCTAGGCCTTTGGCATCCGTCAACACCGAGATAGCCTGATTTTGAAACTAAAAAACTCCATTCTTCGCACACGATAACCCGATCCTTTGACGACTAATTCCGATACAGGTAGAACAGTAGGAGATATCATGGAAGGATCTGTTGGCTAGGAAATTCAGCATCCATAGTAGGAGGATATTTCTGCCGGTCTTTTAAACCCAGCGTGTATTATATTTACCGCCACTAGGCTGGTAAGTTTTCTGAGCATATGCACACACTCGTGCATATTTAATGGAGGTTTACAGAGAAGTTAATGATCCGTGAAATGTACTAGGAAGACACCTAAGAAATAAGATAGTCATTTAAACGACAGAAACGGGGAAAATAGTCGCAGTATTCAAATATAGCTCGATTTTATAATACACAACATGGCGTATCGCGCGTCACATATTGTAATATTACCGCGACAGATACAACATTTCTCAATCGTCTCCGACTCCGAATCTACTCCGGTCGAACAGCACCAATCCACAGCACGACAAAGCAGGATATGCTGCAGACGTAGCATGCCAGAACTGCCATCCTCGCTCACTCGGTCGTGGTCGTCGACTCTCAAGCTCCCCAAGTCGACGTTCCCCCCGCGCGTGTCGCCGGCCGACCAGGCGAAATACCTACCCAGATGCACTGACGAGCTATACGCCTGGCAGCGGCGTGCCAGGCCGGCGGAGAACACATTTACCCTGCACGATGGACCTCCATACGCTAACGGCGAACTGCACGTCGGCCATGCGCTCAACAAAATCCTGAAGGACATCATTTGTCGGGTGCAATTGGGACGAGGGAGGAGGGTGGACTACGTGCCCGGATGGGACTGTCATGGCTTGCCTATCGAGCTCAAGGCGCTGCAGGGACAAAATGATCTCAAGGGACAGATGGGGACTGCAGGGGCAGCAGCGATCCGAAAGGCAGCACGAAAGCTGGCTGAGACGACGGTCAACGAGCAAATGAAGGGATTCCGCCGCTGGGCTATAATGGGCGACTGGGAAGGTCATTACAAGACGATGCATAAGGAGTTCGAGATGAAGCAGCTTGGAGTGTTCCGTGAGATGGTTGATAGAGGACTGATCTACCGCCGGTTCAAGCCGGTGTACTGGTCACCGTCCACGGGAACCGCTCTGGCCGAGGCAGAGTTGGAATATAAGGATGATCATGTTTCAACGGCAGCCCTGGTTAGATTTCCTTTGGTTACGATTTCTTCACAATTGGCGAATCATGCTGGAGTTGATAGTGGGAAGTTGAGCGCTGTAATATGGACTACAACGCCTTGGACTTTACCTGCTAATGCTGCTATTGCCGTCAACGAATCGCTCGAGTATACTGTTGTCCAGTCGGAGAGACATGGTCAGCTGTTGATCGCCAAGTCTCGACTGGAGTACCTGCAAGGCATGCTGAAGGAAGACCTCGACATCGTCGTTCCGACTATCCTCGGCTCTGACCTGCAAGGACAAACGACATATCGACCTCTGTTCAAGGATCCGGAGGCGCAGCCACAGCCTATTATCGCCGCGGAATTCGTTACTGCAGAGTCCGGTTCCGGTCTTGTCCACTGCGCGCCTGGTCATGGTATGGAGGACTACGAAGTTTGTCTCGCCAAGGGAATTCCTGCTTTCGCTCCGGTCAACGATGAGGGCAAGTTTACAGACAAAGCTTTCCCGAGCGACCCGCAAAGACTGAGTGGAAAACCTGTACTTGACGAAGGAAACAGCGCTGTACTCGAATATGTCGAGTCCCGAGGCCAGCTTCTTGCAAAGCATCGGTACGAGCATAAATACCCCTACGACTGGAGATCGAAACTTCCTATTATTATCCGGGCGACGGAACAATGGTTTGCGGATTTAGCTGATATACGCGACGCCGCGGTCAATTCCTTGAAGGAGGTTCGCTTTGTCCCTTCTTCTGGCCAGGGGCGTCTGGAGTCCTTTGTCAAGAACCGGAGTGAATGGTGTATATCCCGTCAACGTGCCTGGGGAGTTCCGATTCCTGCCCTGTACCATCGTGGTACAGGAGATGCCGTCTTGACTAAGGATAGCGTATCCCATATCATGAAAGTAATTGAGGAGCGTGGAATCGATGCGTGGTGGACAGACGATGCCAACGACGATGCATGGATCCCGGCGTCATTGCAAGATCCTTCTGGCCCTGGCTACAAACGCGGAACCGACACGATGGATGTCTGGTTTGATAGCGGCACGAGCTGGACTCAGCTTGATTTGACACACCGCGAGGGTAGACAACCGGCCGACGTCTATCTGGAAGGAAGCGACCAGCACCGTGGATGGTTCCAGTCTAGCCTGCTGACCTATATCGCCCATCAGCTTGCTTCTGGGAAGAGCGACACTCCCAAGGCGCCGTTCAAGAGCCTTATTACCCACGGATTCACTCTGGATGAGGATGGTCGCAAGATGAGTAAGTCAATTGGCAACGTGATCCATCCCGATTCGATTATGGATGGCACTCTGCTGCCCCCTCTTAAACAGAAGAAGGGCAAGGGTAAGAAGCAGCCGGCATCTACGGGGCCTGTCTACGATGCGCTTGGGCCTGATGCTCTTCGCATGTGGGTTGCCAGCAGTGACTACACTCGCGATGTAGTAATCGGACAGCAGGTGCTGCAGACGGTGAATACCAGTCTTCACAAGTACCGCGTCACGTTCAAGCTGCTCCTTGGAGCGCTGGGCGACTTTGACAAGACCAAGCAACGCACGTACGGGCAGTTGCACCAAATCGACCGCATTGCCCTTCTACATCTTGCAAACCTAGCCAACACCTGCAGGAGCGCCTACGATAACTTTGAATTCTACCGGGCGGTCACCGCGATCAACCGGTGGGCGAACCAGGAATTCTCGGCGTTTTACATGGAGACCATCAAAGACCGTCTCTACACAGAGGCGCAGGATAGCCCCAGCCGACGTGCGGCACAGACTACCCTCTTCCAGATCTACCACTACCTGCAGGAGATCCTGGCTCCGCTCACGCCGCTGCTGGTCGAGGAGTCGTGGGAGCATACTCCCGAGGCGATCAAGGCTCAATGCGATCACCCGATGAAGCGTGTCACGGCCATTCCCCCAGCCGAATGGCTCAACGCAACGCTGGAGCAGGATTTTGCAGATCTGATGGCGGTGAACTCGGTGATCAAGGCCTTGCAGGAACAGGCACGATCAAAGAAGCAGATGGGCTCCTCCCTTCAATCGTTCATCCACATCTCCCTTCCGGACAAATCCGTGGATGGGTCCGTCTTTCAACGGTACCTGCCCGAGCTGCCGGATCTGTTCGTCGTCTCGTCTGTGGGCCTCAGTGGTCAGGGTGAACAGGTGCCTACCGTCATCGAGCAGGCTGAATGGCACTATTGTGAGCGCTTCCAGCTGCCCGATGGACGCCAGGGGACTGTGCATGTCTTTGCACCGCAAGACTCCAAATGTGTGCGATGCTGGCGGTACGCGGTTCCTGAGACTTCGACCAGCGAAGACATGCTCTGCCATCGCTGCGAGGACGTTGTGCGCGAGCTGGATGCCGTGGAGGCGAGTAAGGCCGCCACTAATGCTTAGACGACGCCCTGCCATATCTTGTATCTCTGTTGCCTGTACCATAGTGTATACTATTTCTAAACTCCAGGTCCAATAAATAGAATTTAGCGTTCCGTGTGAGACTTCTGCTCCGTTCTCCGTGTAAGATGGTTAGTAGCTAAGAGTACGCGTCCTGTGGCGCATCAGACCAGTAATGCAACGAGTTTCAATGTCGAGAGAATCGTCTAGTCAAGGATCTGGGGTAATCCAAGCCCGGGTGTGTTCATGTCCAGGTCATCCATCGACAGTCCAGACTCGCTAAGAGGAACGTCAGATATGCCGATCGTCGCAAGCACTTTCATTGACCAATGTGTCGATTAGCACAAGATCCGCACGTTTCTGGAATGCTGATCAGATTCGCTGATTCTCTGCTCCCTTCTTCTGCTGGATAGATGCGGCTGCTCTGATCGTTTGTGATGATCTCAGATGCTCTTTACATGCCCCGCATGAGTATGAGTCTTATCGTGATTGGGTCTCGAGCTCATCCCAGGTAACCATGACGATTCAGACTCGTAACAACACCGACAGAAACCGCTCATGACGATGGGGAATTTCAGCGCAGGCGGCGCTTCCACTGGCTGACGTTCTGCTGGAGAATCTGAGTCCATGGAAAAGAACAGGAAACGAAAGCAGAATGTCGCTGCCCACCATCCATGTCGTCATCGAGGACTTGATGGATCCATTGCTTATAATGCATCTTCTGTCGTCCGGCCTCCGTCTCTTCTTATGTAGATTTACCGGGTCGCTGCTCAAAACAAGCTACAGAAAAAAAAAATTATCATCTGGGGTCAGTCAATATGATCAAGACGCATCTCCCACCAGTTCCATCACCGACGACCACGTCCTCCGTGGCGCCTATCCCGACGGTGATTCCGGGTAATGAGCCAATCTTCCAGCATGTCCATGGTATCGGCAAGCGGACCTTATGGTAAGCAATCTATGAAGAAGAGTGTCCAATTGAGACAGATACACTGGCTGACACGAACAGGGTGGTCACCGTCGCCATGGGTATCTCTTCGCTCGTGTTCTACATCCTGGCTACGCGAGCACCAATAGTATGTCTTATTATATAGTTTCATGATTGCTTTGTGTAGAAGACACTCAGACTAACGGCCATCGCAGTCGAAGCGCCTCTTCCACATCCTGACCTCCCTAATCACCACCATCTCCTTCATTTCCTACCTAGCCATGGCCACTGGGGACGGCATCGCATGGAGCCATATCCAGATCCACGAGTCGCACAAGCACGTCCCAGACACAAAGCAGGATGTCTTCCGCCAGGTCTTTTGGTTCCGCTATGTCAACTGGATACTCACTTCGCCTCTTATCCTAATCAATTTGGCACTTCTTGGAGGCTTGAGCGGGGCGCACCTTTTGGTGGCTGTTTCTGCGGATCTCATCATGTTCGGCACGGGACTTCTGACATCATTCGCAGGCAATGATGGTCGTAAATGGGCTTGGTTCACTATCAGCGCTATCGCTTACTTGGTCGTGGTGCACCAGATCGGATTCAATGGCGGACGGGCCGCAGCCAACAAAGATGCGCAGACGAAACGGTTCTATGGCTCTATTGCAGGCACATCTCTGGTCACTCTGGCGTTGTACCCGATGTATGTCAGCTCTCGGTTCCCTGCGAAAGCTCCTGCAGACGAAAAAGATTGAACGCATAACTAACAATATCCAGCATTCTCGCCGCATCGACACTCTCGCACCGCATCAGTCTCGACGCAGAGGTCGTCATCTGGGCCGTATTCGATATCGTCGCACAGGGTATATTCGGATACTGGCTACTTCTGACACATGACCGATCTTCCTCGTCATTGTAAGAATCCCCATCCCACCCCTTAGCCTGGAAAGGGCAACCAAATTTGAATTCGCAGGATTCATTCTAACGTGATTTCTCAGCTCTCTATACCTCGACGGCTTCTGGTCCCGTGGCGTCGGCCAAGAGGGCGCCATCCGGGTCGGCGAAGAGGATGGGGCGTAGTCGAACAGTAAGACCAGTCTTGAACGGTGTTTTACCAGACCTCATCTGGGGATCTGAGAACAATGCTCCAAGATCATTAGGGAATCATCCCTCGAACCCATTATCCGCAAGGAAACAAAAAGGAAGACCCAAATACTCGCAAAGAAAATCAATGAACAGAACGAACTTGAGACCAAAAGCAAAATACAAAACTGGACACGAGATCTCGGTGGGCAAAAGCCCATCGACTGCTTACATCTAATGACGCGACATGTAGGACAGGATTTCATAACGAGATCTATCTTTACTATCTAATAAATGGAAATCTGAATCATCTCTATTCTAACCAAAGCATACTACTGTATTTATGTCCATAAGTAATTTTAAGCCGGAATATGTTCGTAGTGGTGTTGTACAGCTAGTAGTGAGATTAAGTACGGGAGGGGAGGTCCATCCACTCGAAGAAATATATATATCGAACCGACGGCTAAAATGATCCCCACGTGTAAGCAGGCCTTTCAAGGTAATATTATCCATTATAACCCATAATTAATAGCAATTAATATCACCACAAGAGAAACAATAACATTATATTACTTCCAATGGTCCTAGAGTGATTACACATGGGACAAGCTGCTAGAGCGCTGTTACAGAACCATATGCTAGGCGCATTTTGAAGATTTTGGAGACGACTGCAGACTGGTATGCAGAACTTATCTCATATCTCCGTGGTATCGTTTGCATTAGCATAATAGGCCTCTTATTCAGGCCGAATCGTACAACAAATACAGTGAAGAAAAATGAACCGGAAATGGAGACCAGAGATAGCAAATCTCAGGGGCATGATAGCGACAACAGTAGCAGCAAGCTCACGGATATGGAATGCGGAAAATAAGATACACGCCTCGTAATGCTAAACTCAAGATGATCGCGGCAGGCCGTGATGAAGCACAGCGCGTGAAAAAACTGTCACGATCTCGCCTCAGAAAAGGAAAAAAAAGCCCACAAAGTCCTCTACGATCAAATTCATCTCCAGTCGTCCATCGTTTCATGCCCGAATATCAGAAGATATCAGCCTCTTCCGTCCGATCGCCATTTTTCATTCTCTTTTCTTTTTCTTTTTCTTAGACAGTGTACTTAGCCTTGGCGCGCGTGCTACCGCTGTGTGCACTGTCGGTATGACCTGAAAACTCGACAACATCTGTGTCCTTCAGGCGCAGCACCTCCTTGAATCGGCGACCAATGTTCTCCAGAACCTCCTTGCCCTTGGCCGCGGAGCGACCCTCACCCTTGTCACCGGGGATGCTCTTGCCCGTGGTGCGTGTCCACAGACCGACACGGTAGAAGCCCTTACGGACGTTGACGACCACACCCATCACTTCGTTGTCTCCGTCATTCTCGAGGGTCTCACCGATAGCAGCGAGCTGGGCGTGCAGCCAGAGGTCGTCTATTGGGACAGAGCGCTTGTCCTTGAAAGAGTATGACCACTTGCCACCGTGCTTGTTCTGCTGGTCTTCCCACTCGGGACGGATTCCCTTCTTGAAGAGGTGGTAGTCGGCCTTCAGACCGAGTTCAGACGTGGGAGTGATGTTGTTCTATTCAATCATTATCAGCATGTGATGAAGAAGCTATAGTGGCGAACGAGGGAAAACATACGTAGATACCCCAGAATTCCTCGACAGAGCTGAACGTGACTACTTCTTTCAGAAGCTCGTTCCAGTTGTCACCCTGTGCATTTCGTCAGTACTGATGTGTTAAATCCTGAGATTGAGGGGGCGCTCACCTTGCCGCTGGGGGGCTTGGTGAACCAAAGGGTCCACTCATGCATAAGGGGATGCTTGACATTGAAGTTTTCCGGGTCATGGAACACAGTAACAAGGTCACCATTCGCGCCGTTTGTCTGTTCCTTCTGCTCCTGCTGTTCGTTGGCCGCCTCGGGTGCGGTGTTCTCGTCTTTCACGGGCGGCTGGCCGTTCTCTGTGGCGGTAGCCATGTCGGATGAAGCGATCTTAGGTGATGCGAAAGGATATAGGAAGGAGAGTCGCGGATGAGGATATGAGAGGAAAGTTCAGGAGGCCGTCAAGAGGTCGAAAAGCGGACGCTTTGCGGACGAGGAGAATTTGTTTTGCGAGTGGGCGGTTTGCGGAAAGAACCAATCCCAGAAAGTGCGCTGAGAATTCCAGACACACAGGGAGGAAGTATCGAGGAGCAGCAGAGAGTAGCAACGGCTACAAAATTCGTCTGCTCCAGGCAGATAACCAGCGTGGACTCGAAAGTGGCGGGGTTGTGTTGCTCCAGCAAAGATAATAATATCGGGAAGATTTGAGACGGTTTGGATGGCGGAGTTGGACATGCAACTTTTCTACTTTTGGCCACACGAACGCTGGTCGAGGCCTGCGACTGGCCGACTCAGCCCTACCGCCCGGCAACATTGAAACTCTTCACAATCAACCGTCACTCAACACAGGTGTTTTTACTGTCAAGTCATTTCAATTCATGGATTTCTTTACTGCGTCGCTGTCATGCAAAAAACAATCAAATAAAGAAAGACGATATACTGCGATGTGGAGACGCATTCGAAAGCAGTTCTCTTGCAAATATAATCTAGACCCTCGCAATACACCTTTCTATCTCCGCGCGGCATTCCAATGAGCACATAAGAAGACTGAAGCACAAACCGTGGGCTACCAGGCCCTTTATCTATTTTTTTTTGGTGGTACCTTGATCAGCCGAGTCAACCCTCATTGCTGCTGATCAAACTCAAAATGCAGTTCCAGCCTGTGCGCAGCGACGTCAGTTGAGGTTCCACAATGTCCAAGAACCGGATTCTTGGTGGCACAAGCACAGGAACGAAGAGCAGCAGCAAACACTTACCCAGACTGATCACATTGACCACCAGGACCCGGAGCTCGAGAGGCACAAACGTAAAGTTGACTGCCTGCACCCAAGGCCAGATCATCAGGTTGGCCTTGTAGCTCTGCCAGAAGGTAGAACGCCATTTCTCCACGGGATCGGTGCCTTCCATAATGGCCATAGACGAGAGGAATGCCGTCAGATGTGTTGGGGTAAAGAGACCCTGGTCTGCAACGACTCGCGCAACCAAGGTCGCACGAGTGCTCTTTAGGACAACATTGCGCTGGAGGAAACCGAACCAGGTCGTGGCAGCGGGACCAAAGATAGCTGTAGAGCAAGAAGATTATCAGCGATCTTTCAGCGAGAAAGACATTGTAAAGATAGGAGCTTACCTCCACCGTAGAGCGCCATGCGACCGGTCCTGGCAAAGTCATGCTTCTCTAGACCTTTGCGGTCGACCAGCTGCTGGGCAAGAACATCTCCGCTACCAAACAGAATCTATATGCAGCTCGATGGTCAGTCGATGCGGACGGATCAAGGATAGTGGCAGACGCATACCGCGCTGGATACGCTGGCCGTGAGGATCGGCTGCTTCGCCAGCCGTGCTTGATACCTGCGAGATATTTAGTTCTGTGACGGATATCATTGTGATCCAGCTGGTAGGATGAACAACTGAACGAATGGATGAAGCAAAGTAAAATAGAATAATACGTACCATCGAAATGCCATTGTGAGTCCAGTATGTCGGTAACGGTAACAATGGGAGCCTACTCCAGAGGGGTTGTTTGGCAGCTGGCCTTAGAAGATGGGGAAGGAGATCAGATTGTCTGGGGTAGATATGTTGAGGAAAGTTCATGTTACGCGGTCTCGAGCTGTCCGCTCTGATAAGCCGCTAGATACTAGAGTTATTACTGTTAGACCAGCAAGCAAGCAAGCAAGCTGGGAACACCAGAAAGCAATAATACGAACAGGTTCTTGTCTAACTTATTCGGTCCACCGAAAAACGGCATGTGGCCACGGATCTGTCGCTATCCAGAGAGCTACTACTCTATTATGATGCTATCGAGCTAGGACTGCGTCCCGAGTTCCCCTTTCGCTGTCCCCGTAGTGGATCTGGAATGGCTTGGCCTTAGCTTGGGAGGCGTTGTTAATAATTATTATGTATCAACATGGGATAGTTTACTTTTGAACTGATTCTTTGTTGCTGGGGAAGAGCCCGTCACCTGACCTGCCCGCCCGTCGGGGAAACTGCCCTGGAACGCCGACGCCCTCCGCATTGGTACGCGTTAGGTCTTAGGGCACAGGGCTGGCCCGCTTAGGGTAGACTCGCTTAGCACCACCAGCGAAATTTCCCCATGCCCGCAAAGTCACATCGTCCGGATCGCGCAAAGCAACCTCGACGTCGACAACTTCAACGACTCCCTCCTCCCGTCATCCTCGACCTTCAATCGCCAATCTACCCATAATGGCTGACGCTCCCCGTGGACGTGGAGGATTCGGTTCGCGCGGCGACCGTGGTGGTGACCGAGGCCGTGGCCGTGGCCGCCGTGGCCGTCGTGGTGGTCCGAAGGAGGAGAAGGAATGGCAGCCTGTCACCAAGCTGGGCCGTCTCGTCAAGGCTGGCAAGATCACCAGCATGGAGCAGATCTACCTGCACTCCCTGCCCGTCAAGGAGTACCAGATTGTCGACTTCTTCCTGCCCAAGCTGAAGGATGAGGTCATGAAGGTACGGACATATTTACCCCGGAGGATCAAAATCACAATCAAAGTCTGGCGGAAGGATGGGCAAAAAAATACGCAAAAAGGGGAAAAAGAATCGGGATGATTGGATATGAGATCAAAGAATATAATTGAAAGGAAGGAATTGGGCAGTGCTGACGGAAAACCAAACAACAGATCAAGCCTGTCCAGAAGCAGACCCGTGCCGGTCAGCGTACCCGTTTCAAGGCCATCGTTGTCATCGGTGACGGCGAGGGTCACGTCGGTCTCGGAATCAAGACCTCCAAGGAAGTTGCTACTGCCATCCGTGCCGCCATCATCATTGCCAAGCTCAGCGTTCTGCCTGTCCGAAGAGGTTACTGGGGTTCCAACCTGGGTGAGCCTCACTCTCTGCCCACCAAGGAGAGCGGAAAGTGCGGTTCCGTCACTGTCAGAGTAAGTTTTCCCGGCTATAATGAGAATTTACAGAGTTTGCGCGTACGATGCTGATATCTCCCAGCTTATCCCTGCCCCCCGTGGTACTGGCCTCGTTGCCTCCCCCGCTGTCAAGCGTCTGCTCCAGCTTGCCGGTGTCCAGGACGCCTACACTTCCTCTTCCGGTTCGACCAAGACCCTCGAGAACACTCTCAAGGCCACCTTCATGGCCGTCGGTAACACCTACGGTTTCCTCACCCCTAACCTGTGGACCGAGACCAAGCTCATCCGGAGCCCGCTCGATGAGTTCAGCGACGTTCTGCGCGAGGGAAAGAGGTACTAGGCGGTTTCTGAGATGGGAAGACGTTTCTGAGGCTTGCATGACTGTTTTCGATCACATATTTCCCGTTTGTTCAGGCTGGAGGATGGCGGAAAGCTTGCGATGACTTCTCCGATGCTCTGTTCACACACTGTACGGTTGCTATGCGATCCATGGATGTAGATGGTTTTTTATTCTGAAGGGAAAAAAGCAAAAGGATTGACAGCATCTAGCGCGGAGTCAATAAAAAAAGCGACCCATTCACCAGTCATCTTTCCCGCGACGCCACGAGAGTCCGCGTAGAATGACCGTAATCGATCCAAATACCACTTTACAATTTGCAGTCGATAGCAAGCCACATAATAGTGAGAAAAATGTCTTATGCTGAAATCATATACCCCTCACTTTCTGCGAATATGTCGAACGACCTAGAGACAAAATTCAACATGCAAAATGTAAACAGAAACCATTCCCTCGTATTATGAGGCTTTCGTAGAGCAGTACCATGGGAGTCATGAGACCTAAATATCTAGAGAACCTAGAGAGATCTTTTGTGACACCTGAACCGAGTTTTCCTCAAGCAAAAGACGATATGTGGTATAGTTGGTACAGCCAACATCCCAGTAAAAGTCGTCTATTGCATTTATCCTCGATAAACAGAACTCTATCTTCTAAAAAGGACCAAGTCGGAGACCTCGCAACACCCTTGGCAGTTCACGCAGATACTTCTTTTTGGTCGTTCAGTAAAGACGCGGTGTACCTTGAGACTCACAAGATAACAGGAACTGAGATTCCAGTCCACTCCTAGTACGTGTAGCTGAATAAAGAGGAGAGAGATCTACATGGACTCTTGGCATTTCTCGTACTATTTAGATCCACACGGTTGATTTGTTCGAGATAATATGCAGGATATATCTTGCAATCCTGATCTCTGGATCTGTTAATTTCTTCTCGACTGCATCGCAAGTCATTTGCAAATAGTCAGATGGAGGAAAAGAAAGAATCTAGTCAATCTGGTAATGATGACTGTCTTTTCTTTTAGTAGACTGCTAGTCTTGTAGATGTCTTTGCTTCACAGGAGACCTTGCATAGTGAAAGGCAACCCAGGAGTGTTTTTCTTCTAGATTGGAAAGACCAAAAGGCTGGTAGGGAGCTCTTCTAGTAAGGAGGGCCTCACTTGAGATAGATGCTAACAACTTCTTAGAAATAGCTATTCAGCTAAATAACCTTATGTTTCAGCGGTTTCTTCTGCCACTGTAAGTGGTTAAACCTCGAATTATCTCTTAGGCTTTCAAGATACATGCCATCAGCGTGTCGGAACCGGTATAACTATCCTCGATGGCCAGTCAAGCTCCCTAACTGGCTCAGAGCCATAAAATCCATGTGTATATGTCTCTATGCATACAGAGAAACAGGCCCTGATATTATCATTTAGTCTAAAGAAGATACGAGTATGGACTGGAGGTTTACTCGTAGCTCCTGATCAGTCTACTATTTGTGTTCCTTCCAATAATAATAAAGACATGCAAGAAGTGAAATCCCAGACAGACGGCTGCCACCGCCTTGAGTGACGTGAAGTGTTGTGGGCTCAAGTTATTTTTTCCTTTCACGAGTGTATATTGCACTTTCACTGCACTGTGTTCCCATCCTTTACCAGTGTCCCCTATTTCATGACACCAGGATAGATATCATTATCTGTATCCCAGTACATACAGTGCTGTATTGTACAGGGTGACTGTACTATTTATCTCGTCTGGATCGCAGCCCCTTTGGCCTTGGATTATCGAGACGTGAAACTATTCTGGCTTTCCACCTTCAAAATGCGAGATATGGAGACTGACCCTCTCTGGGAGGATACCCTTATGGGTGGTGCATTCTGGAAAGAACAAGATAAGAAGGACCGGTTCTATAACGAGCTCTGGGAAGATACTCTTATGGGTGCGGAGTTCTGGCGAGAGGAGGACAGAAATAATCCCTATGACACTACCTATCATGTGCAGTATTCCGGCATATTCTTTCCTGGTAAGTTCTATATGCGGGTCTGCATTAACTGCCATGTTCTCTCGGCGTCCTAATCTGGATACTTTCACGCCCATTGTTGCCTATGTCTCCTGAGAAACACATCTAATAACTCTCCTTATCAGTTGCCTTGCAGAAACATATCCTGGAGGGGGGCAGTATGGACAGGGACACCCTCCGCGGAATAATCTCCTCTGACAACAGCATGGGTGCAAGACAGGCCGTGCTTGCCCATACAAACAATAAAGAGAACACCGAGCTGAACGAGGCTCTGTACAAAGAGCGCCGCTCTAGCATGAGCGATCTGGGTTCACTCAAATCTGGACCCTTCTCTGCTGCGTCCAAGAGACACTTCTGGGATTTCAGCAAGAAGGCCTACGAGGAACCTGTCACTAGCAACAAGGGCCATACTAGGACAGGCAGATCTCTCATCCGTTCTGCCTTTGGATCCTCTGCTATTCGCAGCAAGAGTGTCCAGCATGAAGACTCCAGATTTGATTTTGGCTTTGACCCCCATCCAGGCAGTGAAGAGAACCCTCTCTTGTACTTCAGGGGTGGGGCTTCTTGGAAGTATATCGAGCGTAACCTCGATGTCCTCTGTCTCGATTTGTTTTGGCCTATCAAACAGAAAGCTTCCACTGAGAACGACATGATTAAAGTCGCAGAGCTTCGTCCCCTGTGCACTTTCCGCCATCTACGCGTCCTGAAACTCACTGGCATGATGCAGTCTTACCAGACTATGATATGGCAGGTCGTCTGGCTTAACCCCGACTTGGAAGAGCTTGACCTCGAGATGGCGTTGGAACCGTGCATTAGACGCGGCTTTAATGGTTACTGGACGTCTATCAGTCCCGGCTGGAAAATTGCGGAGAAGGATGAGCACAAGCCCGTATACTAGTAAGTTTACTCTCCCTCTTTCTTGTTCTTTTTCCTTCTCCTTTTCTTGTTCTATGCCTGAGGAACAAGAAGCAGTTCGGTTCAGATATCAATAACATATTATGGTCAACAGTGGCAATGGCGATGGTAATATTCACAATGACATTGGCACCGGCGAGTACCTCGACAAGAGAATCATTGAATCCTCGAGACTTCTCGCGAGAATGATGGGCCCGACCAACAGTCGCCTTTCCGTCGTGGTCATCAGACTTGCTGGATTTGTTGTCGACGGAGATCCGTTCGATCTCTGGTTCGAGCCGCACAGACTCCGTCGTATCCAATTCAAGCATAACTGCGTCGACGCCGGGTTCTATCTCGGCGAGTTCATGAAGGACACAGTTGAAGTGATCTTTCCTAAAAAGGCCGTGCCCAACACCGCCCAAATTGGCAGAGTCGTCGACTTAGCCAAGGAGCTCAAAGTTATCGAGCTCCGCAAAGGCAGGAAGATCAGTGAAGCTCCCTATTATCCTCCTGGTGGCTTTCAAAAGGCCTGTTGTCACCATCGTCACGACGACCAGATGCCGGCCGAACCATCCAGTCATCGCAAGGGTAAAGAGAACGAGCACTCTTGCTGCAAGAAAACTGACGCTGGCGCTCATGGAGGCAAAGGCATCAACGCAGACCACCGTGGAGTGGCCACTGGAGGTAAGCACAAAGAATACAGTACTGATTAGACATGAACTGAACAGTGTCTAGGAGAAGAATCCGACAACTCGACCGACAGAAAGAAAGGTACTGAGCTATCCAGGGGTAACCTTGCACTCAAATCCCCCCGTCAGGCGTCTATGGCAACTGCTGCCCCTCGCCCCAAGGGCGCTCCACGCCACGGACGTAACGCAATTGTCCCCCGTATGGTGGGCAAGCTCGCGCAGAAGGGCAAGTCGACCGTTGAGAAGGAGTGATTCATGGTTCACTGGTTCACTTGAACGTTGCTGACAGATTGTCACGACTTTGTTTATCCCTACTCTTTCCAGTATCCGGTTTATCCGTGATCCGTTTTACATGCCCATCGGGTCCCCTTCGCGGGTTGATCTGAGCATAGCTGAAGCTAATTGCCACACGAGATAGTGATTTCAAATCCTGATATTTCTTCTAAAGTCTATATCCTCGTACTCATATGGCCCTCTGAAGATGCCCGCGCGGAAAAAGCATAGAACAGAGATCCCAGTATCACATAGAGACTCATAAGCATCTAGCTCAAAACTACATAAGGCACAGTACCCCAGTCATTTCTCAACAATATGCTCTTGCAATTCAGCAGTGGGTTTCACGTCATCCTCAACCGAGCCGTGGCCACTTGCGCGGTTCTTGCGTAACTCACGGGCAACCTTCCGAGCAGACCTTCCTGGTTGAGTATAGAGATAATCGATCTCTTCAAGAGTCAGGTTTGCCGTCTCCGGATAGAAGAAGTATATGAGTGGAATGAATGCCAGATTCGTGCACATGAAGATCAGGTATGCCTTCCATTGGAGATGGGAGATGATAACTGGGGTTATCATGACGATGACGAAGTTCTGTGAAGGGGCATGTTAGAAGCGACCCATTGATTGATTTCAGGGTGAGCAACAAAAGTCCTAATTTTGAACGTACCCAAAGCCAGTTCGAAGAGATTCCGATGGCGGTGCCCTTTGCTCTGGCCTGAAGAGGAAGGATTTCTGGTACATAAACCCAAGGGATGCAGTTCACGGATGCACCGAAGATAAGCATGTACTGTGATGTTAGTTAGCCTGGCGTATCTCATATAGGTATGATAAGAGGGACTGACAGTGAAGAAGAATGCCACGCTAGCTGTCGAAGTCTCTTTCTCTACAGAGGAGCCCTTGAAACTCAGCAGAACGGATATCAACATCATGGAAATCCCGAGTCCGAGTGAACCCCACATCATGGGCTGCCGACGGCCGATGCGGTCGACTAACAGTGAAGGCACGAAGGACCCAATCACAAACATGCATTGTATCCTATAAACCTGTCAATAAGTGTTGCCCATTGCTTCTGTCGGGAGAGTTGTGGCTTACACTCCACCAAGAAGCAGTGAGAGGTTGCGCGATAGACCGACATTGTCTTGCAAGACGGTGGGTACAAAGTAGCTATTTCTAATCAGAATAGTCTTCTTAAAGACGAGAGGTGAACGGTTATGCTTACACGACTAGGTTAATACCGCCGACTTGGTTCATGAATTGCATACCGTAGGCCAGAAGTACTCGCTTTCCAGTCTGGACCTCGTCCTGCTTAAAGATGTCGAACCAAGTTTTGGACTCATGGCTCTCTAGCTGGATAGCAAGCAAAATATCTGCTTGCTCCTTGAGGATTTCAGGATGGTCAGGATCCTTATCGTATACAGTACACAAGACATTCAACGCTTCTTCGTTTCGGCCCTTGTTATACAGGTAGCGAGGTGATTCTGGCAAGCCAAAGACTAGCAAGATCACAACCTGGCGTTCTTAGTTGGTATAATTACTATAATCATGGGAAGAATTATGGGAAGCATCATGGGGACATACGAAGGTGAAGAGGACTTGGCACGCAACTGGTAGTCTCCAGGCGATTGAGCTGTCAAGGAAATGCAGTCCATAATCAAACCAATATGCTATGAACGAGATCAGTATTTAATCGAATTTACCCCATAGTCTGAGAGCTCACCAATAACTATGCCAACACCGACAAATAATGCTTCTGAACAGACGAGTCGGCCTCTCTGGTGGGCATGAGAGAGCTCTGCTTGATACATCGGCACAGTAGATGTTTCGATACCAGTCCCAATGCCCGTGACATAGCGGCCGATCATCAAATGAGGAACTGAGAATGCTGAAGCCTGTAGCGATGCTCCAACCTAGGATTTGTCAGCGCTGGTAAGGCTCTCCGAATATATATACTTTGAGAACATACGATAATCCAAGCCATAGCAACCCACATGGCACGTCGTCGACCAAGCATCTCTCCGAAGATGAACGCGAGAATGCAGCCACTGAAACATCCCAAATTGTATATACTGACGATTATACCAAGATATGCATCTTTAGGGTCACCCATCACCCTCAGGAAATCCGAGTTCCCGACAATGCCTGAGAACACTCCCTGGTCATACCCTTTCCGCTGATTAGTACGGAATCATGTCTTTGAGAATGGACATTGAAGGAAACTTACCAAACAGAATGAATGCCATTTCACAGGCAACTGTAATGGCCAAACGCAGCTTCCAGCCGCGGCCGAAAAGGTTGAACTCCATCTTTGATACGTAGGTACAGTTACGCGTTGCGTTGGTAGAAGCCCCACGTGCATAATCTATACAACATAGAACGATACGGAGAAAGTGAGGAAGTGACCAGCGTTTGGGGAGATAATCATCCTCTGGGAAATCCCTGAATTATATTTCAAAATTTCCAATATCTGAAGGGAGGAGACCATGTCGATCTCTCTCACTCGCCGGAATAACGCCATAATGGCAAGGCCTCATCCCCGACAACAACATCCCGTGCGGCGAGTTCCATTACCACACTACTCTTTCCCCGGAAACTGACAGGTTGTAGGGGTTGATATTACCCCAGATCTGCGCCCACGTTTTGCAGAAGTTGAAAAGGATGCACCATGACGCATAGCGCGGACTACAGTTACAGATGCTACCGTCAAGCTGAAACCTTGTTTTTCGCGCATGGGGAATTGCGGTTACTAAGGAATCAGCTAGTGACACGAGACCCTGCAGTCAGTCGGCAATATTTCCCTCAAAGGAGGAATTGTTGAGCATTCTTGGCCTCGGAAGATGGCCGATATGCGTCGGGGAGAAGTTGAGTTGCACACGAGCGTGGCGATCCGTCAGGCGATCAGATCGTAACGGCGCTACTACTTGCCATTCCAGGAGATATCCATATTAGGAAGGCTGAAGCCACCAATCATCATATATTTCACCTGCCAATACATCTGAGCGAGACTGTTGAATGCCTACGATGCGGGATATTAGCAGCCAAGGGAACGCATGAATACTATATGGGATCGGCAAGACAGCGTGATGCCGTACTTTCTATCGTTGAGAGATGGGATTTATCCGAAGGCCAAACTTGGTACAGCAGGTACTAACTTAGCACATTGGCCAAGATCATGAGAAGGTGGTGTGCTCCCATGATATTAACTGTGCGAGGTTTTGTATTATCGGGAATATATGGAGCGTTGGATTAAATAATATGCTACTCGTGGTGTTATGCTAACTATGCCCAGGCTGCAATATCTTACTAATTTTGGAACAGTTCAAGGCCAACATCAGTATCATCAACTATATGGACTTTGATACTTCCTTTGCTAGTATCTGAGCATAGATGGAGAGCGTCTGCAGCATTATCAAGTGTAAAAGTGTGTGTGATCAACTTTTTCAGATCGAGGATTTTCCCGTCCAAACATGCGATGCCAGCTGGCCAGGTATCGTGGTAACGGTTGATGAATTTCAGATTGATCTTATGTGTGACAATGAGTTAGCGACGTTTTACATCATTTTTTTTTGTACTGTATGATCTTACCTCTGCTAAGGAGATATGCATGAATGGTAGGTTGTTCATTATGGATTTCCCAACACCGATAACCATCACTGTACCGCCTCTTCGTACTGCATACGCAGCAGTACAGACACTGCTTTCCACCCCGGTACATTCTAGAACCGTGGATGGTGCGAAGTATTCCTCGTTCCCAAACAGAGCTCGAACAGCCTTCGCGTTTCCCGCTGCGTCTAGGGAAGGGTTGACCATGTATGTCTTACAGCTTGGGACGAACTCTTGAGCGAATGCTAAGCGACGAGGCTCCAAATCTGTGATGACTATTGGGTGTGCCCCCGACGCGCGTGCAGCTGCCAGCGCTATGAGACCAATAGGTCCTGCACCACAGATGAGAGCTCCCCGACCGAGGGATAATCCAGCAGTGTTTATACCGTGCATGACCACTGAGAGAGGTTCAAGAAGGGCTCCTTCTGCGAAGCTGACACTATCTGGAAGTCTATAATTGTTAGCGCGCAATGCTATATGTATAAATGAAGCGCAATATTTACTTGTGCAGCCACTTAGCTGATTGGACCTTGAACCTTTGAATTGTTCCATGGTAGGGCCATACTCCAGCAAACTGGACATCCTCACAAAGATTATAGCGACCTTCGCGACATAAGAAACAATTTCCACAGGAAACTCCTGGTTCAAGCGCGACTCGGTCACCTAGATACAATTTAACTTAGCAAAAACACATGATGTATTCTAGAATACCTCCTTCCTTACCTGGCTTAAAATTAGCGACGTTCTCCCCACATTGAAGCACAACCCCAGCAGCCTCGTGGCCTATGATACAATCACTCTTGAATTCGAGGGGCCCAATCCTTCCAGATTTCCAGAAATGAATATCTGACCTATGTGGGATACTCTCAGCAACTATCTTCGCAATAAATGGAATGTCTCAGGCCAGCTTACCCGCAGACTCCTGTCGCTTTAATATGCAACAGAACTTCCCCAGGTCCAGGTTGATATATTGGAGCATCGACAAGTTTCAGTTGATGATCTGGCGTTACTTGCAAGGATGGATTGCGATATGGCCCCAGTTTCGATTTATCAGCCAATTCATGCTCTTCGACGATAGCTTTTGCTTTGGAGATCCATTCACCTTGAGCGCCGGATTCACTGGCCTGTTCAAGGATGACATACGGGGCCATAGCTATAACTCAAGAATATGGGAGAAAGATCGATCGAGAAGTTTGCTCAAGAAAAGGACAGGGACTTATCGCAACAGTCTGGAAATTAGTTCATGATATAAGACCCCGGGATACTTTCAGTGCTTCCGCGAAGGATCCAAGAGTCTAGGCTATCTCCTGCACTACCTATCTATCCACATCAGAATCCATGTGGACAACTTAGAAAGCCTTTTGGTCCGTAAGCAAGCTCTGGTGAGAGCCTATTTGGCGTGGCAGCTCATCTGATTACCTATCTTGTGGAGATTGGTGATACAGCGAAACCGGTTGGTGAAGGATTTCTAATCGTTGCAAAATTAGGTACATACGTAGCATGCAGCGGCGCTTAGAGATTCTGTTTCGGGGAGTAATCCCATATTCACTCTACATGTAAGGCAGGCTGTTGCGCTGGACAGCCTTTTCTGCGCAAAATAATCTGTTATCGAATAGGTCGTTAGATGGCTCCAATATCCACAGGCTGTAGTATGGAGAGTCTGGACCACAATCTGACAACTAGTTCTAGTAGCAAGAGCATTGCAACATTCGTATCCTTAGGGCTAAGGAGCAGATTTTCCAGCGTCTTTGTCTTAGAATATTTAGTATAATTATCCTAGCAGAGCCTTCAGAGTGTTAGAAGTGCTATTGACCCACAAATATAATTTCGACTAAGTACGGTGACAAACAGTTATCCGCAAGAGCGAAAGCGTGCAACATCAACAATGCAACATTTAACGGAAGATGAAGACCACGTCCTGAGGACTCTCCGAGTCCTGATCGCTGACCTCTGCCAGCAGTTCAATGGGGGACATCCAGGGTAGAGTGATTTCTGCGTATGTAACATGACGAACATATGTCCTAATTCGTTCCTTATCTAGAGGAGCTATGGGAATGGCTGCGGTCGGGGTGGCATTATGGAAATATGTTATGCAATATGCACCACATACTGCGGACTTCTTTAACCGTGACAGATTTGTTCTCTCCAACGGTAAAGACCAGAAAAGATGCCTTGCACTATAGCTACTGTATTAAATGCTGACGCGATGCCAAAATTAGGACATACCTGCTTGTTTCAGTACATCTTTCTTCATCTCACCGGATACAAACCCATGACTCTCGACCAGCTAAAATCATACCACTCAGATCGTGCAGACAGCCTGTGTCCAGGACACCCTGAAATTGAGATCGAGGGAGTAGAAGTCACAACGGGTCCGCTCGGGCAAGGTGTCGCAAATGCAGTTGGTCTCGCTATAGCGACAAAGAATCTTGCGGCAACCTACAATAGACCTGGATATGATGTCGTGTCAAACCATACTTGGTGTATGGTGGGAGATGCCTGTTTACAAGAAGGCGTGGCTCTGGAAGCCATTTCGTTCGCGGGCCACCTGAGGTTGAACAACCTTACCATAATATACGATAACAACCAGGTCACCTGCGATGGTTCGGTTGATTTGACCAACACAGAAGATATCAATGCGAAGATGCGTGCTTGTGCATGGGATGTCATTGACATTGGAGAAGGATGCTATGATATCCGCGGAATTGTCGCTGCTTTAAAACAGGCGAGAGCATCAATTCGGAAGCCGACATTTGTCAACGTCCGAACAGTCATTGGGGTAGGGACAGCCGTCGCAGGAGATGCCGTGGCTCATGGAGTGGCCCTTGGCGCGAATAACGTCGCGGAACTGAAAAAGGCATATGGATTCAACCCCGACGAGCATTTTGTTATCAGTCCGACAATTCGCAAGTTCTTCGAAGACATCCCAGCACGAGGAGAGGCGCTGGTTAACAATTGGAGCAATCTTCTTGACAGATACTCTCAGGATTTCCCGGATCTTGCTGAGGAATTCCAGAGAAGAGTCAAGGGAGAACTACCCGCAGACTGGGATACGCTGGTTCCAACGAAGTTTCCATCGAAACCTACAGCTTCACGCGCAGCATCTGGGCTAGTTTTTAACCCCGTTGCCCAGAAGATCAGAACGTTCATGGTGGGAACTGCTGATCTTTCCCCGTCAGTCAATATGGCATATCCTGGAAAGACGGATTTCCAGCATGTGAGTCAATTGAAACATAAACCATGTCTAAGTTAAGGATCTGACATGAGTCCAGCCTGATCTGCGAACAATTTGCGGAATTGACGGAAACTATGCAGGTCGCTATATCCATTATGGTATCCGTGAACATGCAATGTGTGCCATATCGAATGGAATCGCTGCATTCGCGCCCAATACCTTTATCCCCGTGACCTCGTCGTTTTTCATGTTCTACCTGTATGCTGCCCCAGCCGTGCGCATGGGTGCCCTCCAGCAATTACAAGTTATACATGCGGCGACTCATGATTCTATCGGAATGGGAGAAGATGGCCCGACCCATCAGCCCATAGAGCTGGCAGCTCTTTACAGAGCCATGCCCAACCTACTGTATATCCGGCCCGGTGATAGTGAGGAAACTGCCGGTGCCTGGATCGCAGCCATCGAGGCGAAGAAGACTCCTTCAATAATTTCGACTTCCCGACACGCTCTGCCACAACTAGCAAAAACTAAACGTGAAGGTGTCCTCCGTGGAGCGTATGTTCTCGAGGAATATCAAGGCTCCGAGGGCGCTGATGTCACAATTATTGGCGTCGGCGCAGAACTGTCTTTCGCTTTGGGAGTTTCTAAGGAATTAAAGGAGTCGAAGAATATCTGTGCCCGGGTAGTCAGCTTTCCTTGTCAGCGACTTTTCGAAGAGCAACCAGTCTCTTACAGGCGCGAAACGCTACGACGCCACAAGGACATCCCAGCTGTCGTGATCGAGCCGTATGCTCCTAATGGCTGGGAGAGATATGCTGATGCAGCTATTTGCATGACGAGATTCGGACATAGCCTTCCAGGGAAGTCTGCTTACAAGTACTTCGGTTTCGAGACAAGCAAGATGACAGAGAAGATATCCAGGTATCTTTCTGACATCAAAGAGGATGAGATTCTGAGGGGCGAGTTTGTGCAACTCTAATATTATCGCAAGGTGTTAATAACTGTGGAATGATGAGATAGACATAACCATTTAGTGAATAGATATATGAGAAACAAATTGCAAAAGACCCCAAAAGAATTATCGTTCCAGTGGTACTTATTTAGTGCATGGATGTGGTGTGGAGTGAATCTGCGGGGCTCCGCGGGCGCCACTTTTGACTCAAGACCGACCGTATCTTGCTGGGTGCGTAAGTACAGTTTTGATCCACACATACATACCTCAAGCTACGAGGCATCGCCGTACCATTAGGATTTCTGGGTCTCTTGTCGAATATGCCAATTGATAACCCATGGACCGGTTATCGATGGAACATAACAGACAGCAGAGATCATCCTACACTGCTCTTTCACGAGATGAACAATGCTTCGAATTCGAGAATAACCATGAACTTGCATCACCTCTAACTAAGATAAACCTCGATCAATTTATTCAGGATCCGGTATACCTGCAGTCACAGGAGACACTCCGCTCTTTGCTCTTCAGTACCGCCCAATCCACGGTGCCAACTAGAGCTCCTAGTCCCGTACAGGATGGTCAACCCCATACTATCTCGTCTCGTGGTATTTTGTCAAGCAGAAAGAGAATAGAATACCTGAAAAACTACGTTGCAGAAGTTGCTCCTTGGGTACGTTATGATGCTCATTTGCTCCGAGGCCATTACGAGTTGTATTGGCTAACTGACACAAAAGCTTGATATGTTCGATATGCAGCGCACCTTTGGTATCAAGATTATGGATATGTCTCAGAACTGCCCTGCTCTATTCTATGCTATCCTGGCTCTTTCATCAAGGCAGTTGGAACGAAAGAATGAGATTCGCGATGTTTATGACAGTTTGGAGCTCTACCAGGAAGCAATTCGCCTTGTTACCCCGCTTCTTCATGCTAGGCATCTGGATGCACTCATTGTGTGCGTGATTCTATGCTGCCTTGAGATGATGTCTGCCAGTGCCAAAGACTGGAGGCGGCATCTTGAAGGATGTGCGGCATTATTTGATACTTTCAACATAAATGGGTTCAGTGGCGGGGTATTGCAGGCGGTATTTTGGTGCTACGCTAGGATGGGTAAGTCATAGTATCTACTGACCTTTAACTAATGGTCCGGTTCTCATTATATACAGATCTGTGCGGAGCGCTCATCTCTGATGGCACTGAGAGTACGCTCCTTCGTTTGGAGAAATGGCTGCCGCCTGGGACGCACGAGAATAAAGCGCGGAAGCTGTTCTCCGAAGCTGGATCTAATGATATGTATGCAAATTATGCTGTATACCTTTGCTCAAAAGTATGCGATTTGATCGCCGATCGTACGAAGTACACTGAACTCGGTGAAGATAATGGCTGTTCCACAGATGTGTTCGCGGAACGGTGGATGCGACTATGGGACGATCTTCAACTATGGATGAGAGATCGCCCTTCTGGGATTTGCCCCGTTCATGAAGCCGAGGGCGAACCATTCCCACGCGTGTTATTCGTGCACTGGGGGGCGATATCCTCCACTCAACTCATCCACACTGCATGCATCCTCCTCCTCGACATGACTCCCCATAAGGCGCGACTTCAATCGAGTTCCAGCACCTCGAAGCTGTGGCATGCAAAACAGATATGTGGTATTTCACTGGCTAACCCGCACCACGGATGCCTAAACAATGCATTACAGCCACTGTGGATTGCTGGGCGGCTTTTTAGCCATGAGAGGGAGCATTCTTTAGTGGTGAAACTGATCCGCAGCATCGAAGCTACGACAGGCTGGGGGACCTGCTGGCGCATTTGCGATCTTGAATGTACATGGGGTTATATATAGCCAAGTACGTACAATGCGAGACTATGGAAAACCTGATTATTGCCTAGGCATGATGACTACCGCTCGAATACCCTGGATGTCTCGCTAGTTACCGTCCGCAAGTCTCCAAGTCTCATGGAGCTTAGCCAGCGGATCGTGCATATCCCACCCCGTCAGTTCTTGGATACGAAGAAACCCTTTCTCTATTTCTTTCTGTTGAGACTCGTGGGTCATCTTTCTTGCAGCAACAAACAATGATGCAACCAGCGAGGGATCCCAGCATTCACGGCGGTCGTTGTTTAGAGCAATACCGCATATGCGATGAGCGTTCCAGAGAGGAGACATCATAACATTGTGATTATCCATGGATTTTAATGTTCGTGGTCTGCGATCAAGAAGAAGACACATGGCGGTATGGAGCATTTGGTTAGCAAATACGGCCGCGGAATTCGTGAAGAGTATCATTGGAAATGGGTTGACAGTTTCGGCCATCTCTGGAGTTGAAGAAAGTTCGAGCATCGGCCAGAACCCCTGCGGGCGATTCTTGTACCAGTCACCAAGACTTGCAACTAACATCTTCCACCTCTCTACGAATTTCTCTGGGCCCGTTGGTTGGAGCGGTGATTCTGTTTCCAGAGTCGCGCTTTGGAGCTGGACAGCCTGCGCACAAAGAATAAGGATGTACTGACTATGACGAAACACGACATCCAAGTGCGATTGCATGGCAGCCGCTGGGGCATGGACGTTCGCGTGAATCGGAACTCGCAATGTCGTATTATTAGTGAGTGCGCTGCTAATATCTACACGGAAACTCAGCTCAGTCTCCTTGCATTGTTCGCTGTCGGTAGGACTTACCTATTCTAAGAAGGAGGCCATAAACTGCAGCCATCAGAACTGGCTCCCAGGGATTGGTAGAGACCGTAACAACAGACTCGATCTCTTTAGCAATCTTCATCCGTGTATCGGAAAGCCTTGATGAAAGATGATAGACTACCCTTAGCACTGCAGCCACTGTTCGGTGCAGATTATTGGTTGCTTTTTCTATGTTCCGATATGACTCGGAGATGTCTACATATTTGTTTGCATCTGAGCGAAAAGTTGAAGGCGACGAGTCTAGTGAAGCCAGGGACTTTGCGGAGACAGCAAGCAATGCGTAAAGCAGCTCTCGTGATGCCATTGCCATCCGCGAAACCAATATGCCGAAAGAGTGTGACATGTCATATATATCCAACTACGGCAATTAGCATGGAAATACTCGTCATCTTCCAGTGAAACTCACCCACGGAGCAATCTCATAACGGAAATGCTTGAGGAGTTCGAGGACTTGTTCCGAGTTTGTGTCTTGCGCAGAAACAAGATTGCCGGAGGAAACAGCCGAGCTCATACAGGCCGCTGCGGTAGGATTTAAAGACAGACATGAAGTCTGCTGAACCGATACAGATAAATTTATATTCTCTGTAGGATGAGTTTCCATAGTCGAGTGTCCTAGTGCGAGTAGATCGTGGACGGCAGATTCTTCGTAGTGCTCGCCAAAGGAACTCCGACTTGATAGTCCAGAGGGGTTTCGCAGTAGGTGACGTGGATCTAAAGAAGATCTTACATTCAAGCCAACATCTCTTATCTCTTGCCCTGTAGCTGGATGAAGGTGCGAGGTAAAGCCGGTCTGGGATATTGTATTTTCGCCGCTAAGCCCAATGCTTTCTGCATTCTGTGCCTGAGAGCAGCTCTTGACGAATGGGCTGATATTTTCACCGTGGATATTCGCATTCTGGGGTCTGTCTGGAGGAATCTCTGCCACAAACTTCAATGATGTCAATGACTAGAACTTTGGTATGGGATAATATTACTGCTCGAAAACGTACCTGCACCGAGTTGTATCGATGATTGTCGCCTTCATGTGCGGCTGTAGATTGATCTAGCGTGTGCGCATTTTTCGAGAGAAAACTCAATCGAGTTCCGTAGACACATTCGAGATTCCTACTTCTGCAGCTGTGGCATACTGGCCTCTCCTCATCGCCTATGTTGCGATCAGTCTCTCCCCCTTATCGTACCCGAAATGGGCTCGACAGAGGGCGTCCGGTAGAAACAATATGCCCCTCTTTGCGGGTCACAGTTTCGCAACGGCGGGGCTTACACTTGCGCTTTCTAGCACGGCATCTCAAGCATCCTGTTCGTGTCCTCCTGCGGGTTTGTCCAATACCTCGATCCCTATCACACATGGCCGATTACTGTAATGCTCGATTGAGTTGATGTAGGTGGAGAGTGATGATGCGAGGATGCTTATTCTTGCTCGAAAGGAACTCGGAAGGGGGACAGATCGGCTCTAAGACGATTGGCTGTCGACCAAATTGAGAAACTTCTACTTAGCACCGCTCGGAATTGTCACTGCTTTAAAACGCGCAAGAGCATCAATTCGGAAGCCGACATTTATCAATATTAAATGTCCGAACAGTCATTGGGGTAGGGACTGCCGTTGCAGGAGATGCCGCAGCTCATGGAGTGGCCCTTGGCACGAATAATGGATTTGAAAAAGGCATATGGATTCAACCCCGACTAATAATAACTAGCCAAAGCCACAGTTCGCTTGCCCGCTCCGCGATCTAAGTATCTTGGTGCCAAGAACTAGGTACCTATACTATCTTTATATTCTGGTCTGGGCATTCCCACCTAGCTCCGACGACCTGTTTATTCTTCCATCTCACTTCAGCCCTCGCCCTAGAAATTCTCAACAATACTACCCAACATGGTTGTCAATCCCAAAAAGAACTCCTTCGGAGACGAAATCACCGTCTGGACAGAGTTTCAGCTACCCAAGAGCGAAAAGTTCAGGGGTAAGAAATGGTCCGATTTCTTCCTTCTCATTCGGACGACACCTGGGCAGGGCTACTCCTGGTGGGGCCCGGTGCTAGAGCGTCAAGATCCTTATAATAATACTATGCTTCTGGTGCAAGGTATGTGTCCTTCCCAAACACGGATACCCAAAGCAAGAAAAATCGCTCAAAAAATCCTTTGATATTTAGTTTATGCATCACATGAGGCACTATTGCAATTTAGAGAATCGGACCAGTATGAAAAATATTGGTCAATCCTCTCGGAAGTCTCGGGCCCCAAGGTTCGCTTATTCCGTGCGCGCTCTCTAAGGCTTTTGACCTCTCTGAGAAAAGGCACTGCGCTAGTGACTGCCTATTTCCCGTGGCCTGTCAGCCAGTCGCAGAGGGAATCGGTCATTAAACTCGAGGGGATCTGGGGTTTTGGTCTCGGGATGAGAGCAGCTCATCTTGCTCCTATGCATCATCCTTACAATATCAAATTGTGGGCAATGGAACCAGAGCAGAGAAATGGCCAGAAGGTACAGGCTATGGTCTGGTTGCATCCATGGAAAGATGCTGAGAAAGAGCGCAAACATAAAAGCCAGGAGGCTTTCTTCGAAGCTCTGCGTAGAAACATGAATAAGGAGGACTTGACAGGTATGGAGAAGGTCTATCAAGGACTAGAAGATACAGGAGCTATTGAGTACATAGAAGAACATTGCGCGTTTGAACTTATTCCCGATGTGAATGTGGCCAGGGATAGGTCACTGGACTCCGAAGGCAGTGATGGAGATACAAGTGTACATATTATCTTCTCTCTATTTGCGTGTATTTCTCTGCTTTTATGTTTATGGCGGTTCTGTGCTAGCTTGTCATGAAAGAGTCACAATCTTTGCCGAACCATCCTCAAAACTCCATTTCTGTCCTCTGCAAGAAATACCAATATCCGACGCAAAACCAAACATGGTTTTCTGAGTTTCTATGAACGAGCTCTGTATAAGTATAACCTGCGGGGTTGCCATCTCCAGGATTCCGATCGTCATATGAAGTCCATCCTGGTACTTGATTCTGGCTCCTCGTTATAAGACTGACGATCTCTTCATTAAGGTTAAAACTTACCTCGCCATTTGAATGTGATGATGTTATATATAACTTCAACAGAAAGCTTTTTATGTATTCACTGTAGAACATCCTGAAATTTTATCGAATCTGTTCCTGGCATCTAACCTTATTTTCCCAACCGAGTCACCGATTGAAGTTTTATTCGAGTTCCTTATAGGTACCTATCTACAGAAATATTATATTTTTGGGGAAAATACACCTAGAAACCAGCATCAGGCGTCTTTAGTATTGTCAGTGAAAAAAATTATTTCCCAAAACCTATTTCTGTGTCAAGTCAAGAAAATTAACGACCTTTCTTCCGGTGGCACTTCGATGAAACCCTCCATAATCAGGCAAATACTTCAAATCAAACAGCTCCTCGTTATTCTCAAACACCCTGAAAAATGTTCGCAATTCCTGCGTTAGCTCTTTCTCACCAATCTTACCCGGCCCATAGTCTCGTAGCAGACGCAGCTCAAGAACAATATCCAGATGATTACAGTCCCCTTCTCTGTAACGCCGAATAATCTGGTACTGCAAAATTCCCCACGATTCTGTTCTCATTTTGGCCTGTACTTGGGAGAATTCAAAATACTCCCCATACCAGTCAAAGCTGATTCGTCTGTCACGCCCATATATCCGTGCTATCCTATAGTGAGCTGCATCCTCAGGGGAAATCCTGTCCTTGATAATACTTGACAAAGAATGAAGAGAGCAGACATCCCCACAGACATAACGGACAAGAGGATTGCGTAGTCGCTGTAGTGAAGTTTGAACAAGTAGGCCTTTTTCACCGTCAGGGACTGGCTGAAAATCGCGGTTGCTTGATTTGTTCGGATCCTCAATGGAAAAGGGTAAGACCTCAAGGTGTATAAGGCGATCATCGAACACAAAATCAGCGTAATTCTGATCTGCCGAGATATCTGTAAGTTCTACTGGCGAGGCACCCCATGGACCTGCCTCTGCACTGCCAATAACCGATGACACGGCTATGTTGGGAAAGACAGATTTCAGAAATCTGCGCTGAGACGGGGTCATGGGCTCGGATGTGTATAGGGCCTTGTCGACTGCCAACTGTTTCCTCTTCTCCTCCGGGAGGGTTGAAACATATCTGGCTAGCTGCGTGATTTGGCCTGCATCACCAGAAATTGCATTCACGCGATATTCAATGATTGTTTGGACAACCTGATCCTGCTCCATCTCACTTCCTGCACAGAGGACTGTGGCCCCTGATCCTTCAAATACTTCGGCCATGAGATCCAGAGCTCTACTATTGTCAGCCTAGCTTTCCCACTTTGGATATTGGCACGCACCGATAGAGATACCCTGCAACATGCATAGTCAACACCCAATCCCCAGGGCCCACGATGCCACAGGACCGCAGGAACGAGCCGAACACGGCTCGTTGCTGACGATTTTCAATCGAATCCGTGGCAAAGACCATCGGAAGTCCACTTGCTGACCCTCCACCGGTTGTACTAATGTAGGTCCCTCGTCGATAACCATTCCGTGGGTCGCAGTCCGTGGTGAGTCGTGCAATCTCTTTATACCTGGCCTCGTTAGACGCGCGGAACGAAGAGGGGGCGAACTTACAATGTGTCTTTTCGAGTCAATGGGAATGATGGCAACTTAAGCTCCTTGGGCGACTCTCTTTGCCTTTCCAAGATCATAGGTAGTTCTTCACTAGAAGGCGGGTATGTGTTATCAGAGTAGAAGGGATGAATGCTGGCTATTGCCAGCACATCGGCCATACAATAAGTATTATCGGCCATCTTCAGGTAGTCTGAATGAGGAGAGAAAGCGAGTAAAGGTCTAATTGACTGTTAATATTTCCAATTAATTGTCTCGACCGCAGGGTATTTGTTTCGTTACAACTTACAAGTGAGGAAACGCCTGAAAACCAAGCGGGGGATTTTTTTTCTTGAGCGGTGAGCATTGGCCCCGCAGCCGTACTTGGAATACATCACAAGCTCAGCTTATGGAGTATTATAGTCAGGCACTGATACGCCGTATTATTCGATACTTTTGCTTTCAATTAGCATGTAGATCAAGGGATTGATCCCAAGAAAAGGGTAGTGGGTACCGGAGGATCCACGAGCTTAGATGCCCGCAGGGGCCCTGCTCGGTGATTGGCTCGTTTCATTGCCTACAACGATACAAAGCCCCAGACCGGACAAGCACATCCTGATATATCATAAAAGATAGAGACGTGTAATTATAAATGGTGCGCAGTTAGCTAATACAAATACAGAGTGGAGAAAACTACTCCCCCAGGGAAACAACCACCGAAAGCCACAAATGCACAATTGCTCTGTGGCTGGCTGGAAAGGATTCTTAAAAAAGGGTTTCCGACTATCTACCTAAGTAGAGGGTTTTCTAGCCGCATCCATCCCGCCCAGCAAGACGAATAATAACCTAATTAATGGCCTGACTTCCATACAACAGAATTGTGATGTTATGGCCTGTGAAATCCATGTAATATCCAAGTCGTTCACCTTGTATGGTAATGCACTAAACCTAACAAAAATATGGGCTTCAGGCGCAAATGGGCCACGGCCTGCGCTTGGTCTGGCATCTGCCAGGGAAATTTAATGCAAACCGACTGTGTGCTTCTCATCCGAGCCCGGTTCGTTGCAATATTAATAGTCCTCCTGGCACGTCTAGACATCCGAAGCACTGAGAATGTGTGCAGAGCAAATATTCCTGTTGTAATACAGTCCCGAGGTCAAGGAGAAAAGGAATCGCCCTTTCCATTGAACACATATTCTTGGATTTCATCTTCATTCCACTACGATCTCGTCCAGACTACACAGAATATGAAGAAACAGATCTGCCACTTCCACAGTATCTGCATTCCTCAAACGTCAGAGGATCTGGATCACCCTGCAGATGTCGAATCGCAAGAACGGTTAAACCTGGTCGACCAATATCACTCTGAGCTGCTAAAGATCAGCCCCAGGGAGACTTGGTCTGGCGATGCTCACCTGAAATCCGTACCATATCCAATTCTCGGTACGGAAATCCACCAACGACAATTGTCGACACTGAGTGATGCCTTGGTTTTGGCCATCACCGATATCGTCGAGCGATGGTGGACCGACCCCGCGGCTCGCTTTCCAGAGCGAATGCCTATTGAACCGGTGGAGGAGGAACTGCTCAGAGTATGTACGACAGTAACCCAGCATACGTGGGTCCACAGTAACCCGGCATATGTGGATAGCGTTTCTAACAGGACCAGTGGATGCACCATCAAGAGCCTAACATACTACGCCCATTTAAATCCTGTAGTGGATCCTGGCGACCGGATTTCCTGCTTGAATCATCACCAGAAGGGCCGGAAGAGACGGAAAACTATCGGATCTGTGAGATCAATGCTCGATTTTGCTGGAATGGTTTCCTCTATACTGCCTTCGGGCAGCAAGCATTGCTGAATATGAACATCGAAAGTTTTGGGCTTAGGGGTGCTACAGACCCACAGACGGTGAGTATTCCATATTTTGAAGCATAAACTATCGAGCACGGCTGAAACCTTCTAGGTTATAAGTGGACTTCAAGGTCTCTACAATGCTCAGCTCCCCTTGCATCTGGTTAAAGGAGAAGAGTATGGGTATGACATCCATATGTTCGTTTCACTTGCACAACGTGTGTTGGGCATTCGCCCAAGAGTTATTCACCCGCATAGTTTGAGGCTTATGCCTGCTGCGTCTCCAGGAGGATACAAGCTATATTGCGTAGCAGAGGCTGGTTCCAAACAATCTGAAGTGACTAACGAAGCCGGTGAAATCCTGGAAGAGATTTACCAGCTGGGGCTGGAACTGCACCAGCGAGAGCTCCTTGCTATGAGCTTTGAAATGCTTCAGCAGATTAGCCTAAGATGCTTCAACGACATGAGAACAGTGCTTCTTGTTCACGATAAACGTATGCTTGGCTTGGTTCAGGAAGAACTTTCCTCCCTAGTCACGCGTAACGTGCTCACACCGCATGAAGCCGATGCCCTGGATCGAGGAATTGTGCCAACCATCATTCCAGGATCGGAGAAACTGGAGCGTTTCATCTCGCAGTGCCAGGAAACAGAGTCACTCAAAGACCAGTACATTTTAAAACCAGTACGCAGTGGGAAAGGAGTCGGGATTCTTTTTGGTGACCAACTCACACATGAAGAATGGATGTCTGCTCTGCATCATATGCAATGCCCTCGGCTGATTCCCAGCAGAACAACCTATGTTGTGCAAAAGCGGGTCGAACAGCGAAGGTACGATGTTCTATTTGAGGAGAACGATGGGGTTCAGAGCTTTCCTCTTGTTGGGACCTTTCATATCGTGCATGGAAGCTTCTTGGGTCTAGGGCTCTGGCGCAGCGGTCCCGGTCGTATTTGCGCTTTGAGCCGTGGAGGAGCCTGGATGTGTTCAGTGATGAAAAAGGACTGAGCTTCGTGCGTTGGTCGCGCCTGTGTCATAACAGGTACTTTTTTTTGTATTTGGTTTTAACAATAGTTACTATTTAGCATCTTGCAATACAGTAGTGCATGCCTGGAAGAGACTAGAAAAATACTTCTGAGGCTAAAATGGGGTTTTATACATCTTTTCAGCTCTGTGACAACTTTTTGTCGACATCGACTCCAACCAGGAGTACGAAAGGTCGAATCAGTAAGAAAGAAGCCTTTAGTAGCGGCGGTGAACGAATCCGTTTCCCCTCCAGTCCACAATTGCTGTTTATTTCGTTCACAGGCCTGATATATGACCTGTAAGTATTTGCTAGTCTTCTTTTTCACACATCTTAGTTTTGACTAGGATTTTTCTACTGTCTCGCAGCCCCATCTCTTGGAACCTCCATTCACCGCACTAGTGGTGCGATGCAATGACGCGAATGCAATACCCACATATTGTATCAGATCCCTTGTTTTGTCTAGTAGCGTATCAATAACAATACACGGCCCATCCGTCGTCTACCATAGGTGAATGACCCGATGGGTCCAATGCAGTGGAGCTGAGGCAAAGAGGTACTAAGGAATAAATACTCATGGATGAGCTGAATGCAGTATACATAATACTACAAATATCTATCGTTTCATCTTATCAATCAACTCAAGACCTACGATGCTACGGCCACTGCGTCTTCTCCATAAGATGTGGCAGCTGCGCGTTCGATCGCCCAGAATCCGTGAGCTATGAACAGTTATAAATACTGTTATTCGACTATACTAACCATGCAAACAATAGATTGCCATATGTCTACCGTACCATTCCTCTCAGTGCCAAATCCCGATCTTGCGTCTCAGCCGAACCACCTGCGCATCGTCCATCACACACTTCAAACTTCTGGAATTCTGCATATTCAACTCGCTCTTCCAGACAAAGACAGTCATTACATCCAGAACCTTGTCTTGGGCCTGCACAAACAACACGCCCACGGATTACCAGTTACGCACAGTGCTGACCGTGGTTGGATGTGGGACATCCGGCCGAGTCCAGAAAGCTTCCAGAGTAACAACACTCAAGCTCGATCTGAAACTATGGAAGAATTCCCCTGGCACACAGACTGCAGCTACGAGGAGTCTCCGCCCCGATTCTTTGCTCTGCAGGTGCTACAGCCGGACCAATGCGGCGGTGGTACCTTGTCAGTTATGAACGTCGATGAACTCCTTCCGCTGCTTCGTCCGTCGGCCAGACAAACTCTTTTTAGCCCTAGTTTTCGGATCAGAGTTCCACCAGAATTCGTCAAGGACAAAGGCAAAACTAGTATTGTCGATAGTCTCCTGGCAACCAACACCGGTGGCAAATCTACTAAACTCCGCTTCCGGGAGGACATCGTCACGCCGCTCTCAGATAAAGCAGCCGAGGCACTAGCGGAGCTGAAAAGCGTCCTACTCAGCTCAGCAGTTAAAGCGCGGATTCTTGACTTAACAGCCCAGAAATTGTCTCGAGGAGCGATCATTCTCATGGATAATGGGCGTTGGCTTCACGCACGAAGTGTGGTCAAAGATCCAAATCGGCATTTGCGCCGAGTGCGTTAGGACGCCTGTCAATTTGCTTCCCCTTCGCACACTGCACATGCCGGATTTCGGTTCGATAAGGCTGCAAAGTTTGGCGGCCTGTAATTCAAGCGCTAGCCGCTATTTTTGGGGGGTTCTTTTCGCAAGTCTAAGAGAAAGGGGCAAATCACGGCGCAGGATCGCTGCTACGTATACTAGCGTTCGGGTCGGTCCGCCGATTGTCGATCCTAGTTATGCAGTGGCTCAAATCCATAGGCTATCTGATCAGCCGGATCATAATTATAGGTGTATTTAGATAGCGCAGTAAATGGCAGGATTATAATAAGACCAATCCACAGTAGTTATATAGGCGGTTCGGTCTGGTTCTACCGTAGGTACATAGCGGTTTAGTTTACGATATATAGCTAACCTGGATCACGGGACCTCTGATTACGGAGCGAAGACGTGCCCGTGCAGCATTAGGGTTTTAGGGTTTTAGGGTTTAGGGTTTAGGGTTAGGGTTTAGGGTTTAGGGTTTAGGGTTTAGGGTTTAGGGTTTAGGGTTTAGGGTTTTAGGGTTTAGG